ATCGTTCCATTATGCACTCAGAATAGCACCATCAAAACACAAAACTCTGTCAAAAGGTTTTTTTCTTATTGCAAAATTTATAAAGCATACTGCGGTGCTTGCTGGCATGACATGCTATAAATGCGCCATTACTTCTACACTTAGCAGTCTGTAACTACCATCATTCTGACATCTCTGACCATTTCCCATTCAGCAGCCCAGACTGCATGCACTCAGACTCCAACAGGCAGCACCGGAGACCAACTAGATGCTAGATTTGCCAAAGTTTGTGAAGTTTTGTGGCATTAAATGTTTCAAATTAGACTGAGAGCTCTGTTAGAAACTCCTGTAAACACTCTGCTTTATTATTGTACCGTTGCTGACCTCACTGCAGACATTCGATCAGATGTACACTTCCTCTTTTATTTATAATTTATTACAGGATACACCAGCCTGATCTCACGAGGAAACAAGTATTTTACGTTTTGTCAGTTTAGTGGCTAATTTGTATGAATTTGTATGAGTTCAGTTGTACGAAAATGTACGGTTTAAAAAGGAGGCGTGGCACCAAACCCCACCCCTAACCTTAACCGCCATTGGGTGATGAGCAAATCATAGTTAATACGAATAAGCAACTAAATCAAAAAGTTATGAATTCCTGTGAGATTGCGTTAAATATATACTGAAGATCAGACGTTAGACTTGAGAGATCAATCAAATGATACAGTATTTATATGTGCAATCCAGGAACCCTTGTGCATCTTTCCATTTAAGCTGTGGCGAAAAGATTTTCGAGAAATTGAGTCAGCACTAATTCTGAACTTTTTAACAGATGGCGCTCTAGGCTAGTTTTTAAAAGCAGACGGCGCTCTAGGCTAGTTTTTAACAGCAGATGTCACTCTAGACCAGTATTTTAAAGCAGACGGTACACTAGGCTAGTTTTAAAAAAAGCAGATGTCACTCTAGGATATTTTTTTAACAGCAGACGGTGCTCTAGGCTAGTTTTAAAAAAAGCAGATGGCGCTCTAGGCTAGTTTTTAACAGCAGACAGTGCACTAGGCTAGTTTTTAAAAGCAGATGGCGCTCTAGGCTAGTTTTTAACAGCAGATGACGCTCTAGGCTAGTTTTTAACAGCAGATGGTGCTCTAGGCTAGTTTTTAACAGCAGATGTTGTTCTCTAGGCTAGTTTTTAACAGCAGATGGTGCTCTAGGCTAGTTTTTAACAGCAGATGTCGTTCTCTAGGCTAGTTTTTAACAGCAGATATTGCTCTAGGCTAGTTTTTAACAGCAAATGTTGCTCTAGGCTAGTTTTTAACAGCAGATGTCGTGCTCTAGGCTAGTTTTTAACAGCAGATGACGCTCTATGCTAGTTTTTAACAGCAGATGGTGCTCTAGGCTAGTTTTTAACAGCAGATGTCATTCTCTAGGCTAGTTTTTAACAGCAGATGGTGCTCTAGGCTAGTTTTTAACAGCAGATGGTGCTCTAGGCTAGTTTTTAACAGCAGATGTCAATCTCTAGTCCAGTTTTTAACAGCAGATGTTGCTCTAGGCTAGTTTTTAACAGCAGATGGCGCTCTAGGCTAGTTTTTAACAGCAGATGTCATTCTCTAGGCTAGTTTTTAACAGCAGATGGCGCTCTAGGCTAGTTTTTAGCAGCAGATGTCGTGCTCTAGGCTAGTTTTTAACAGCAGATGTCGTGCTCTAGGCTAGTTTTTAACAGCAGATGTCGTGCTCTAGGCTAGTTTTTAACAGCAGATGTCGCTCTAGGCTAGTTTTTAGCAGCAGATGTCGTGCTCTAGGCTAGTTTTTAACAGCAGATGGCGCTCTAGGCTAGTTTCTAACAGCAGATGTCGTGCTCTAGGCTAGTTTGTAAATTGTTGAAAATTGGTTGTTTTTGCGCTTTTTCAAGCCAATACGTTCATCCGGTTTAAAAATAATTTTTAAAGCTGCATCACGACAATAAGATCCTTGCATGTATTCCAGTATGTAGACTGGATGTCTGTACCAGCCAGTACAACGTGACGTCTTTAAGCTTTCAGCCTTAACTCATGAGAAAGACTTGGTTCGAACCAATAGTTACTATATCTCGTTTGTCACGGGGGCATGCATGAAATGTTCCTGAATGAAAGTGAAAGTGCCAAACTGCAGTTAAAGTTGACAAATTAAGAATTTGGCAAATAATTAGATCACTGATGTCCATGTAAACACAGTCACTGTCTTTCTCATCGGCGTCTGTGTGTTGTTTTGCCTCTGTAAAAAAATAAGCGTGTGCTCAAACCAAAAACTCCCATTTTTATGAAAACCCTTCCCTCTTCCCTCCCCAGACACTCCCACCTAATCAGAGCTTGACTCAGGGCGTACTCACACTATGTACAGTTTCCTTCAACCAGGCCAAAGTATGCTTGTCCCCTCTCTCATCTCCCCCGACGGCCCGCACTCACATTACATTCATCGATGATGCACCGCTCATTAAGCACTCTTGCTCAGCACAGTGGAGATTTCTTTAGTTATACTATTTAAGTAATCTGATATAAAGTAACACAGTCAGATATTTCGCTGAACAGATCAGCCACTTTTGACGCTCATAAACAATAATAAAGTCCTCATGCTGCAGGAATTAGGAGGTTTGCTGAAGGTGCAGCTGTCGTGCAGTTAGGGGTTTGCGTCTTTAATAATCTACGACAGTAGATGTGTTCATTAAACAGTAAAAATGATTAAATAATCCATATGGAACAGTCCCTTAAAAGTCTCGTCTTGTCTTCAGGCTCAGGCGAGCTTTGCACTCACACACAAGCATACCATGCCAAAGCCCAAGTGAACCACGCTCTGGCACACCTCTTCCAACCGGGCTAGAGCTGGCCAAGTGAACCGCGCCTGAGCTCGATTCAGAGCACTCACACTTCTCTAATAATCTAGGAAATGGGCCTGGGCATGGTTCGGATAGCATATGGCCCGTTTCCACTGAGTGGTACGGTACGGTACGGTACGGTTCGGGAAACGGCTTTTATGGCCGTTTCCACTGTCAAAAAGCGTACCGAACCAAACCGTACCGTACCACTTTTTTCGGCACCTTTCGACGAGAAAGGGTACCAAAAGGTGGAGCTACACGCGCAGCCGAACGCTGATTGGTTACAGAGATACGTCACGAGCTCCTGGAGCTACACAGAACGTAAACAAAGGATCCGCCATGTTCTAATACACAGCCGAGAGATTACATGGAGATAACGTTACTATATGCATAAAATAAGCGACAAAAAGACAAGCGCGAGAGTAAAGCGTGGAAAAAAGGAGAAACCCGGCAAAACACAGGAGCAAAAGTGTTTAACAACCTGAATCATGAACAAACTGCCATGTTTATCTTTGCCTTTTGTACTATTATGAACAGGGAATAACAAAATTACTCTTTAACAGAGTTTGCATGTGCTGCTGAAGATTACAGACACAGATGAGAGGTTTGCGCTGACTGTGGGCTCTATTGCGTGTGTTTTTGAACTCAAATAAGTACTAAATGTATGATGTGTGTAGTTTTTCTGTAATTAATAATATATCGGAGATTGTAAGGGGCTGTATGTGTTCATATATGTTGCATTTATATATTTATTTAATATAATTACAGACGTTACAGTAGCCTATTTCACACTGTCATTGATCTGCAGTTATTATCAACTCCTGTTCATAGAAAAGTAAGTAATAAACATTTATAAACAAGTATTTATGTGTATAAAGCTTCTGTTTTGTGAGAAGTGCTTCTCATATGATATGTAAACGACCCGTACAGCTTTACTTTAGACATTTATTCGAGCGACCATGACGTCTATTTAAACTTTGTCATACACCACGCCCACCAAAAAGGGTACCCTTTGTGGTGGAAACGCAAGCCTGATAAAGGTGACCCGTACCGACCCGACCCGTACCGACCCGAAATGAGCCAATAGTGCGAGTACGCCCTCACACACTTTCCTGACTTTGTTCACATTAGAGGTGTGATAACACCCTGCTGAGACAGGGGAGGTCTGATGGCCCTTGAAGAATGCTTTTAGGATAGATGATACATACAACAATCAATGCCCTTGACTCATGTATTTGACACAAAATGACATCACACGAAAAGTGCAGCAAACCATAACGCAGAATTACGCATTTCGTTGAGATGTTTAGTGGGTGTTTAATTGCTGTTAAGAAGTGGAGATGCTCCTTACCTGCAGTTCTTCAGTGTTTTTGACTCTCTTTATTGGAGATGACTGTGCATTCTGTCATAGCAAGACATAGCATCTCTGCCCTCTCAGAGTTACACAGCCGTTCTGACACTGTAAATCTGTCTTTACTCTAATGGATTCCCCTACACCGGACTCAATGACCCAGACTTTTTTTTTTAATCCACCTACACTCTTAACTTTTTTTGCCTTTAGAGCAAGGTCAGAGGTTAAACGAAACAAGCTTTTAAAGCTCACTGCCAAAAGAGACCAGAGGCTCAGAGTCATAGAGCTAATTATACAGTGCTGTTGAAACACCACACACACACACACACACGATTAAAGAGAGAGCAGGGAAATAAAATACAAATGCTTCTGGGTAATTAGATGCTACTATTTGTGGATTTGAGAATCGGCCCCTAAAACACTGATCGCTCCGCCCCCCTAAAGGACTTACAGCCCCATCCAAAATTAATGATAGCCCCGGCCTAAGACACTTATAATTCTGCCTTCAATGACTGATCGCCCTGCCCTAAAGAACTTACAGCCCCATCCAAAATGACTTGATAGCCCTGCACTAACATAATGAAAGCTCCACCCACAATAACTGATAGCTCCGCCCTAATGCAGTCATAGCACCACCCTAAATGACTGATAGCCCTGCCCTAAAGGACTTACAGCTCCCTTCAAAAGAACTAATAGCCCAGCCCTAAATGACTGAGAGATCCACCCTAAAAATCCTGATAGCCCCTCCTTAAAGGACTAATAGCTCCACCCTAAAGGACTGATAGTCCTGACCTAGAGGATAGGAAGTTTATTCGCACGTACTGAGAGAAGTGCATGGCCTGCTGTCCTGCTATGCTGAAGTAGAAGTTGGTGGTGTGTTTCATCTCATCTGTGTGGCCCGTCTCCTGGATCCAGTGACCAATCGGATGACAGTGAATCCCATCCACCATGTTTCTGTCATCATACACACAGCACCGGTTGTGATGTGGCCCACTGCCTACAGACAGACATCAACACAACACTTCAAACTGGGATAAATGAGAGGATGAGAAGAAACCTACTGTATTAACTGCCTAGAATTCTCGCCATTTCAACAAAATCATTGATATAATGTCTTAGAAATCTCATGTGACTGCATGTGTGATGTGCAAAAGCATTTTTCATTAATATTTCGTATATGTCAAATGCTTTTTTTGTGTGGATTATGCAAATAAAAGAGCTTTTTTGACATTCTGTTTCTGTTGTTTTCTTATCTCATTCATTCATTCATTCATTTTCTTGTCGGCTTATTCCCTTTATTAATCTCGGGTCGCCACAACAGAATGAACCGCCAACCTATCCAGCACGTTTTACGCAGCGGATGCCCTTTTAGCCTCAACCCATCTCTGGGGAACACCCATATACACTTATTCACTACGTACAATTTAGCCTACCCAATTCACCTGTAACCTACATGTCTTTGGACTGTGGGGGAAACCAGAGCACCCCGAGGAAACCCACGCGAACGCAGGGAGAACATGCAAACTCCACACAGAAACACCAACTGACCTTCTTAATGTGAGGCGACCGCACTACCTGCGCCACTGCGTCACCTTTTGTTGTTTCCATTCCTGTATTTTCTTTTTGGCTTAGTCCCTTTATTATTCTGAGGTCGACACAGCGGAATGAACCGCCAACTTATCCAACATATATTTTATGCGGAGGATGCCCTTCCAGCTGCAATCCATCTCTGTGGAACCTATCCATACAAATGAATTGATTTTCTTGTCAGCTTAGTCCCTTTATTAATCCGGGGTCGCCACAGCGGAATGAACCGCCAACTTATCCAGCAAGTTTTTCCGCAGCGGATGCCCTTCCAGCCGCAACCCATCTCTGGGAAACATCCACACACACACACTCATACACTACGAACAATTTAGCCTCCCCATTTCACCTGTATTGCATGTATTTGGACAAGGGGAAACCGGAGCACCTGGAGGAAACCCACGCGGATGCGGGGAGAACATGCAAACTCCACACAGAAATGTCAACTGACCCATATTTAATTTCTAATATTTTGCAGGATTAGTTGGCGGTTCATTCCGCTGGGGCGACCCCGGATTAATAAAGGGACTAAGCCGACAAGAAAATGAATTTCTAATATTTTAAAAGCAATTCTGATCATTCTGTCATTGATTCGGTAGACGAACATTTAAATAATTAAATGGTCATTATGGTCTCAGGATGATTATTCCCCACTGTATTTTTAACATTAAGACTTAACATTAAGACTAAATTAACTTTATTCCAAAAATTAAATCTTTTTGTTTTTCTTTTTTGTGACAAAAGAGATGTGAGTAGAATTATAATGCATTGGAAAACATTCAATTTGTGACTGAATTGACCAAAACAGAGTTCTAATCTACAACCAACTAATTGTTTTATTTAATCTTTCACACTTATGTTAACACTACGCTAAAGTTACATTTCAAAAAACAATCTCATTCTAGCCTAATTATACTGTAGAGGTGGAATTAAAAACAAATTTAGTCCCAAATATAGGCTGCGTCCGAAACCGCCTACTACTCAGTAGGTGCTGCATTTGAATTTAAACGTACTACTCGGCCGTTAGAAAAGTTTGTTCTATACAGTATGAATGTGAATGGAATTCGGACGTACTACATCCACCATTTTGTCATGGTCACGTGACCTACCTGCGTCAATTGCGTTGCTTCACTCCCATTTATGAATTCGCTCGCAGGGCATCATGGGATAGCGCAGCGTGCATGGGATGCGCACTCCAGAATCTCGTCGGCAGTACTAAGTCATCCGGGTTCTTCACGCATACTGATTTTCGAATCTGCTTGATAAGTGGTGACGTGTTTGTGACGTATGTAATATTGTTTCCGGGTCCAAGCCGCCATTCATTTGAGTGGAGAAATCATTCGTTTATGATCACGTTTTATTCCTATCACACATTAAAGTTAATTTCATATCAAATCATAGTGTACACAACAATCTCTGGGCTTGCTGCATAACAAATACCAAAAATTTAACAATTTATAAAAAAAATTAATCACTTTCTGGCCATCGGATATTAGGCATGGACATATATATATACTGCGATCGTGATTTTCGAAAGCATTAAATCGCTTTGTAAACGTTTATTATTACCATTTCATGAGTCTCCTCATTTAGTTAAATAGAGCGCTTGGACCCGGAAGCCGCTTCGCGTGACGTCACACTTAACAAGCGAATTCATAGAATTCGAAAATCAGTATGCGAGAAGTACCCGGATGACTTACTACTTCCGGCGAGATTCCGGAGTGCGCATCCCATGCATGCTGCGCTATCCCATGATGCCCCGCGAGCGAATTCATGAATGGAAGTAAAGCGACGCAACTGACGCAGGTAGGTCACGTGACCATGACAAAATGGCGGATGTAGTACGTCCGAATACTATTCATACTTTTCACATTCATACTGTATAGAACGAACTTTTCTAACGGCCGAGTAGTACGTTTAAATTCAAATGCAGTACCTACTGAGTAGTAGGCGGTTTCGGACGCAGCCATAGTCTCGTTCAATGAATGACTTCCGGCTACTTTGACACTCTCGTCACTTTCGATGTAATCACAGACATGCAACAGGAAACAGAGCTAAACATAGATGACAAAAGCAACCAATGAAAAGAAACCAACGCAGATTTGCTTCGTGCGTCACAAAGTTGAAGCGCCTCTTTAAAAAAAAAGTTTCAAAATCCTCATTATTATCCCTCCACAGAAAAGCTGCTTTACATGAAAGCCTTGCATTTCTGAAGGGCAAGGTCAATAGCCAATTAAATGCCTGTGTTTTTGTCAGACTCCGAAGGTCACGCGTTCACGACCTCAAAGAGTTCACATCTAAAAGCGGAGGGCTCCTATCATTAATTCAGCCACTTCCTGTAATGCCTGTAATTCTGCATAAATTCCATAAGCTTGATTCATAACATAATAAACATTCAAATGAGTCCTTGCATTGACAAAACTGCAGCGGACCGCTACATGTACTGCACAGTAATGAGGGAGAGCGGATGGCTTCCTGAGCTCGTTCTCGTCCCAAACTCGCCTTCATCCTGGAAGTACGTGGGAGTTTTATATTTGTCCAGCGTTTATCACTTCAGCCGCTGTCTCACCACTGAAGCCCACACAGCAAACAACACTGAGTCATGAGCTAAACCTGTGCAAGTCTCAGGTTAATTAGTCTTAAACCTCCATTACACGCTGCATGTGTCACAAACACTCACAGTATGCAAATCAGTGCAAGTCTTAAAGGTATAGTTCACTCAGAATGTAATATAGTGTCATTTATTTATCCTCGGCCATCATGGTGGCGCAGTGGGTAGCACGATCGCCTCACAGCAAGAAGGTCACTGGTTCGAGCCTCAGCTGAGTCAGTTTCTGTGTGGAGTTTGCATGTTCTCCTCGTGTTGATGTGAGTTTCCTCTGTGGGTTTTCCCCCACAAGTCCAAAGACATGTGCTATAGGTGAATTGGGTGAGCTAAATTGTCCGTAGTGTATGAGTGTGAAACAAAAATAAACAGGCCAGAATGTCCTAAAGTTAAACCAATCCACGTCTGGACACGGCCAGTTGATTCACTCCACTGATCCGAGTAGTTTTAGCTCAGCTGGAGGACTATCAACTCATGCTTGCTTACCTGAGGCGGGCTCAGAGACAATTCATGCGCTGCGGCTGCCATCATTTCAATCAGCAGAACACAATGGTGTCTCCACACAATGAAAATCTCAGCCGTTCTCACAAGACGCCAGCAAACAATGGCTCAATCAAAACCTCAGTCAACAGAAGGCGTGAGCACTGGAGCAGATCCCCCCGTTTGTCGCACACGGGCGTATTCATCCGTATGAGAAACATGACAGAATGAGAAAACCGCTACGACAGGTCTGACAAAACAGGCCGTGTTTGGAGGTTTAAATGCTCCTTCGTTTTTTTTTTTTCTTAGCTTTTTAATATTTGTTGCTTTGCTCCCAAAGTAAATCTCAACGTTTACTCTCATCACAGTGAAATGCTTTTCCACAAGGTACATAATTGTGGTTACGAATAAAACAAAGTGTCAGAGTGAACACACATACAGTTGAAGTCAGAATTATTAGCCCCCCTTTGAATTTTTTTATTTTATTTTATTTTTTTAAATATTTCCCAAATGATGTTTAACAGAGCAAGGAAATCTTCACAGTATGTCTGATAATATTTTTTCTTCTGGAGAAAGTCTTATTTGTTTGATTTCGGCTTGAATTAAAGCAGTTTTTTAATTTTTTAAACACCATTTAAAAGACAATATTATTCGCCCCTTTAAGCAATATTTGTTTTCGATAGTCTACAGAACAAACCATCATTATACAATAACTTGCCTAATTACCCTAACCTGCCTAGTTAACCTAATAACCTAGTTAAGCCTTTAAATGTCACTTTGAACTGTATAGAAGTGTCTTAAATATATAGTAAAATATTATTTACTGTCATCATGGCAAAGATAAAATAAATCAGTTATAAAACTATTATGTTTAAATATGGATTAAAGAAATCTGCTCTACATTAATCAGAAATTGGGGGGGAAAAAAATAAACGCGGGTGAATAATTCTGACTTCAACTGTGTGTGTGTGTGTGTGTGTATGTGTATATATATATAAATATATGTGTGCGTGTGTGTTTGGGTTGTGTTTTTTAATTAAAGGTCATATCTTATCAAAACACATACTGTTAAATTTACAAAACAACATTATTAATTTAAGAGAGCATAGGCTGGGTTAGCCAATTAATTTGTCTATCAAAAAAATTAAGACAAAAAGTTGATAAAATCATGATCTCCTGTCTGACTGTGGATCAGCGGCACCATCCTGTGACCAAATAATGCATTACAGCTTTTCTCCTTTATTCAACATGATCTTTTATTTAAAACTGATTTGAGAGACTTCCCAGGAATGGGTTGCGGCTGGAAGGGCATCCGCTGCGTAAAAACTTGCTGGATAAGTTGGCGGTTCATTCCTCTGTGGCGACCCTGGATTAATAAAGGGACTAAGCCGACAAGAAAATGAATGAATGAAGACTCGTTTGAATTGAAACACTGCGTTTCTGTCGTCCACACCTCCTCACATATCAGGGTGTCCGCGGGGTCTTAAAAAGTATTAAAATGTCGAATATTTCCAAATCAAAATATTAGGTCTTAAACAGTATTCAATTCACTGAAATATTGTACTGTAGGTCTTAAGTGATTTTAAAGAGATCTCAATTTTTTTATCTGCATGTAAAAGCTTCCCAATCAAGTCGACACTCATCCAATCACCAAACAAGCCATCTCAATAAAACTTTTAACAGAAGTTTAATTTATTAACTCCATATTTAACAATCTGGTTTAATTATCAGCCTTGCAATAACACGTGTTATGCTTCAACACTTCCTGGTGACATTTTTTGAAGTAAACACCGCAATGAAATTATTACCAGCATGTAGGACTTTCCGACAAGATCCATAAAACTCTTACCAGTCCTTACTCCTTATTTGCGTCTAACAGCCCATTCACACGGGGCTTCAGCGTCAACGCATGACTGAAGGCGTGTCTGAAGTTGGGGCTGAAGCGATCGTCATAGAAGCGTCAGCCAATGATATTGAGTTAGCAATACGCCACTGTCTAGCTGGTGTATTTGCATACAGCGATCTGATTGGCTGACGCTTCCGTCGGCGCTTGTAAAGTTCAAAGTGAATGGGAAGCGTTGACGCTGACGCTCCGTGTGAATGGGGGGTCATACCCCAGTTTTTCACGTGGGCATGAATGAAATGTTCATGAATTAAAGTGAAACTGAGAACTGCAGTTAGTCACCCAAGATTACAGAAAACTCTTACATGATAGCACTTCACGTAAACACCTTAATTATATTATTGTCTATAAAGGCAGGTAACTAGGCTACAGATGTCCATGTAAGCGTAGTCAGGAGTGCCTTCGAAGTAAGTGAAAGATCCAGAAGGGCATCCTGCGGATTTGATTCAGAAGGGCACTGTTTTTGTCAGACGGCTCACCGGTTTGACTTTCATTCACCGTTGTTTATTTTAAAAAGCACCCGCTCTATCTTATTTGTATATGTTTTACTCGATCGCATAAACTCTGCAGGTGCCTGATAGTTAGATGTGGAGCTGACATTAATCAGAATCCCTCTAGTGAACTGCATCCATGTTAGCACGTCATGTTTGATGTGGTCATTTCACAGTAGGATACACACAGGTTCGAAGACTCGTTCTCGCCACCTACAGTGCAATTCTGGTGGTGGATAAGAAGACACCCCCCCCCCCCCCCCCAATGTTGAAAAGCACTCTGAGTGCCCAGAAAAGCACTATATAAATTTAAGGAATTATTATTATTATTATTATTATTAATTCGGCCAGGTATAGCTTGCGTAGAACAGACCCAGCTACCAACCCAACTTTGGGAATAGATTAATGGCGATATTTTTTTAATCGCCTGATAAGAGTCTCACGTTAACGCAGCACAATAATGCAATATCGGCCCACCACTAATATATACCAAAAGTTCAGTCAAAGCGAGGTAAATAGCCCTTCAGCAACTACACCTCCCGCAGCTGGAATCAGCTTCCAGAAATGATCAGATGTGCTCCAACATTAGGCACATTCAAATCAAGACTGAACACACATCTGTTTAGCTGTGCCTTTACTGAATGAGCACTGTGCTACTATGCCTTTCTTTTCTTTAATATTCCTTTAAAACCTTTTTTGACACATTGTAGTCTGTCATAATTATTTGTATGCTTTGTTGTTTTTATTTTGTTATACATATATTTTACGTTTCTTAAATTCTTGTTTATGTAAACCACATTGAATTACCATCGTTTTGAAATTGCCTTACCTTTAAAAGTCTTACATTTGACTTGGTGAAACCTGCTGAAACCCTGACTTACCTTCCCAAATGAAGTCCCCATCGACCCGCTTTATGAACTTAAACCACAGCGGATCCGTGAGCGGCTCGGACAGCAGCACATCCCCGGTCCACAGGCACGGCTCCCGGCAGGACCGACCCTGGCTCGGGTTCATCTTCACAGCCCGCTCCAGATCCCACAGATTGAGGTAAAGTTAGTTTTATATTCACACATTCAGACTTTCTCCTTAATAATCTGAATTTCACAAAAATATTCGTCGCAAATTCTGAATACCCTGCTGAAAAATCCAGCTTAAACCTGCCTAGGCTGGTTGGCTGGTTTTAGCTGGTTAACCAGCCTGGTTTTAGAGGGGTTTTGGCCATGACCAGCTAAATCCAGCTAAAACCAGTCTGGTTTAAGCTGGACATAGCTGGTTGTGGCTGGGCTCCCAGCTTGGCTAGGCTGGTCATCTCCCAGCCTGACCAGCTAAGACCAGGCTGGGAATCAGCCTGGAAATGGCCAAACCCCCTCTAAAACCAGTCTGGTCAACCAGCTAAAACCAGACAACCATCCTAAGCTGGTTTAAGCAGTTTTTTTTTTTTTTCAGCAGGGTAGTGAAACATTAACATTTAAGTCAATAAATGTTAATGAACACAGTCAATATTATAAACATTTATTCAGTCAAAATAAATAGTGATAATGTTTTCAAATCATACTTGCATGTGACTTCAGACCGAATATTCAAAGTAGCTGCCATGGTAAACAATATAGGGACAGTGTCACAAGTTTTTGTGTCACACTGTCCGAATTTAAAACCAATTTTACCTCAGTATCCCAGAGCCCCATCTCCGGCCGAGAGCCCAGCACAAACACCTCTATATCAGGACACTCTGGAGTCAAAATAACACCAAACCTGAACACGACCATCATGTCCTGTGCAGTAAACACACACAAAATGCACTTGCACTATAACTGGAGCTGATATTTACGCGTCTTCGGTCACTGACTGGCTAAAATCTGTGCGCTAAAAATACATGCAGTGCTATTGACTTTTAAAGCGATACAACGGCTGAGAGGGAGCAGCCGTGTGTCTACTAAAAACCCCTCTATCTGTGTGGTTGTTTAAATTATGCGCTTTATAAAGCGTTGAATATATCCACATTTACACAGGACGGCAGATGTCAACACTTTACGGCAACTGTGAGTAGCTTCAGTGCCTCTAGAGGGCGCACCGCGGCTCAGACAGGCGAATCCTCCATAGAGATGCATTCAAAACAGGACAAAATGTGCTATTCAGTAGGCTAATTTGTACGCCAAATTTTGTATAACTTTTTACTAAAATTTTTAATATTTTTTTTCTTACACTGCTAACTTGCAATGCAAGTGTATCAATAAAATAACACTATTAATAATTATTATTATTGATTCATTTAATTGTTCTAATTATAATTAATAATTGAATGCCTTGTTTGAATAACCACAATGGATTATGTGTGGAAACATTTTTAAAGAATAAAGCGAAATAGACAGTGATAAACATACATACAGATAGACAGACAGACAGACAGACGGAAAAATAGACAGATGGATGGATGGTCAGATAAATAAACAGACAAACAGACAGACAGACAGACAGGTAGATAGATGGAATAAAATGAAAAAGAGATATAGACATAGAGAGATAGATAGATAGATAGATAGATAGATAGATAGATAGATAGATAGATAGATAGATAGATAGATAGATAGATAGATAGATAGATAGATAGATAGATAGATAGATAGATGGACGGATGGATGGTCAGACAAATAGACAGACAGATGGATGGACGGATAGATATATGGTCAGACAGATAGGCGGGTTTGATGCCATGTCCCCTTTTAAAAATCGTAAATTTTCATACAATTCAACTAGAGCTGCACAATATATCTAGTTTCAGCATTGATCTCACATTGTGCGCATTCACAAGTCACATCACAGGATCTGCATATTAAATTGAGTTAATAGTTGAGTAGAAGTTGTAATCATCAGAGTAAAATGTATAATATGCATGTGCTTTAAAGGTGCAGTATGTAAGTTTGACACCCAGTGGTTGAACGAGGCATTGCACACCTTGTTGAAAGCGCACGCAAGCGCAGGTTGCCAGATTGAAGACACCAACAGGAGCGAGCCTAAAGGCTGATTTGAACCATTTTCTAACTAAAAGCAGCGGCATGCGATAGAAGAAATATTTTCCATAATAAAAGTAGTTTTTGTACTAACCAACACCTGAAATTTATATTTTAGATACGGCTTTTAACTCTTACAGGTAAACAACAGAAAAAATGGCAATGATCAGCTCAGGTACAGCTCATGTGCATGGTCCCTCTCAGTGTCAACCTTTAAACCAGAGACACGCTGAGATTGTGGCTTTTGCATCTCTTCTCGCATGTGCAAAATACTGTTGTCTTGGACCTCCCCACAAACCCCCTCTATTTCATTGTGGCGTAAAGATTTAAAAACTTGAGAAAATTAAAATATCAGAGGCAGGGGAGAAGTTTTTTTTTTTTTTTTTTTTTGAAAAACAACAATTTATTGCATTCTTTAATCATTTAAAAACCTTACATGTGGATTGAGTGAAAGTACATGTGTATGCATGTATGTAAATGGTTTGTTATTATAATTTTTTCTCTGTATTTGTAGTTGTTTTGCTTATTATTATTTTGTTTATTTTATTTATTTACTTATTTATTTGCAGATGATGATTGTTTTATTTGGGGATTGTTTTTTGGGTTGTTATAAAATGTAAAAAGCTATATGCAAGAATAAAAATTCCATTACGAAAAAAAAAAAAAAAAAAATATATATATATATTTATATATATATATTTATATATATATATATATATATTTATATATATATATATTTATATATATATATATTTATATATATATATTTATATATATATATATATATATATATATATATATATATATATATATATATATATATATATATATATATATATATATATTTCATTTCCTTGGGCTGGTCTGATTCTTCTTATTTAAAAACACCACGCCAAAATAAAGATAATAAAATATATATATTTTTAATTCATAAGTCAAACCCTCCAACACATGCACCTCCGACCAAACTGCATTTGCAATTTCTTAAATCCTAAACAATCCACTTAAATACCAGAAAAACAGACTTCATATAACATGGCTTCTGTAATACAATATATGGACTGCATTACGAAAAAAACAAACAAAAAAACACTTCATTTCCATTTAAAATGAACAGCCATTGGTGACCCACAATATCGAGAAGCCTAAAACAGCTCCCAGCATGTAAACACTGCATAGCTGTTCAGAAACAAACAAGAAACAAACACTGGGGTTGCGCTTCATCAGCTGCAGATCATATCAGCTTTCACAAATTCTCACAGCACGCGTTAAAATGCAGACAGGTTATGATACGCCACACGTCACATATATGCAAGGTATACAGAGCTCATCTGTGTACTCAAATATAGTGTTATCAAAAGTTTCCATCTAGAACACAGTATTAGCTCCAAGTTAGTGAGGAAACGGCGGGTCAGAGTGCAGACAGCCACTAATTTCAGTAAAGTGCAAGTATTGTTGATATATATATATTCATGGTTGGCATGCTGGTACTAAGTGATACAGTACTGGTGAATGAATCAAAACTGTTCAGCGTGTTTTAGTATGTATGTTTCGCTAAATACAAATAAATGAATGGACTGTAGAGTTTACTCCGATTAACTGATGCCATTTCTTCAGGTAGAAATAATGACAATGAAATTGAAGAAGTTCTCACTCTAAAGGGAACACATCACATATACAAGGAAATAGGCTAATTTACATCTCCGCTAGTGTTAAACTGTTAAGTTTTATCATTTTTAAATCCATTTAGCCAATCTAAAGGTCTGGAGGGATCACTTTTAGCTTAGCATAATTCATTGAATCAGATTAGACCATTAGCATTTAAAACTTAAGAGGATATAATTTGCTATTGAGTAGTAGATTAATTTGTACAACAATTTTTTTTTACTAAAAATATTTAATCAATCAGTATTTTTTTTCAATAATCAATCAATCACTTTTAGCTTAGCATAAATCATGGAATCAGATTAGACCATTAGCATTCAAAACGTATAAGGACATAATTTGCTATCGAGTAGTTGATTACTTTTTACAACAAATTTTTAATAAAAAAATGTTAAGTAAAGCATTATTTTTTTCAATAATCAATCAATTACTTTTAGCTTAGCTTAGCATAATTTACTGAATCAGATTAGACCACTGGCATTTAAAACTTATAAGAACATAATTTGCTATCGAGTAGTTGATTAATTTGTACAACAATTTTTTTAACTAAAAATATTAAATATGTTTTTTTTTTCAATAATCAATCACTTTTAGCTTAGCCTAGCATAATTCATTGAATCAGATTAGACCATTAGCATTCAAAACCTATAAGGATATAATTTGCTGTCTAGTAGATTCATTTGTACAACAATTTTTAAACTAAAAATATTAAATCAATCAATTTTAGCTTAGCTTCGCATAAATCATTGTATCAGATTAGACCATTAGCATCTTGCACAAAAATGAGCAAAGAATTTCGAATATGTTCTTATTTAAAGCATGACTTTCTGTAAGTAGTGTACTAAGACCGACTAAAACTCATTCTGAATTGTATCTCACAAAGTTCTCTGTGGTTGCAAAAGTTTTAGGTGCTCCACAAAATAATTGCACTAGCTCAAATCATGGTTTGGAAACAAAATTCATTGATTATCATACCAGAATGAGAGCATAGTTCCAAGCCATCCGTCAGTCTGAGTACATGATTTAACTAGAGAAGATTCAAGCTTTAAAAAGGAAAATTATCAATACCCTTTGGTCATTTGCGTGAGAGATGCTAATGGTCTAATCTGATTCAATGATTTATGCTAAGCTAAGCTAAAAGTGCTCCCCCCAGACCCAGAAATCAGCTGAATGGATTAAAAAATGATAAAACTCAACTGTTTACCTCTAGCTAAGCTATGAAACGAGCCCACTTTTTAGGTGGTGTGTTCTTTTATTCTTGATATAAATCCAAGCCCTTCAAGTCTGAAGCATGACAACTGTTCCTGGATCTGATAGAAACAAACATGCAATGCAATGTCTGCATAAAACGGAGCAAAAGCAAAATCCATTCAGAGACAAACAAAGACTTTAGTCACTGTTTCACAAGCGTTACAGAGATCATATAATCCTTCTAAATCAGAGGTCTCAAACTGGATTCCTGGAGGGCCGCAGCTCTGCACGGTTCCACTACAACCCTTATCAAACACAGCTGATCCAACTAACCAAGGCGTTCAATACCACTACAGACTATTGAGCAGGTGTTCATTGGAGATGGTTGGAACTAAACTATGCAGAGCTGTGGCCCTCCAGGAATTGAGTTTGAGACCATTGCTCTAAATGAAACTTCGTTTCTCCAGAACACCAGTTTTCGTCTTGATAAGAAGCAAATGTGTGTGTGTGTGTGCAGAGGAAGCCAAACCATTTCATTTTAGTAGATGAAGTATTGCATCAAACGCCCTCAGACTAAATTAATCCTCGGTATATTAATAAAAAAATAATCTTAACATCACATCAACAGAAAAAAAAATACTTTGTTTCCTTTTATTTACAAAGTGATAGTGTTTTGTAGATGGAAGATACTGTAGCGTTTCAGTTTGCGTTGTGTTATGACACTGGTTTGAGAACAGACCGCAGTGATCTGCCGTCCCGTGTTAGCTCTCGGGTCGTGCACATGCAGGGCAGCGGGACGGCCTCCACTTGTCGGAGGACTTCATTGTATGGGCAGCGTTTCAGGTGGTCCGCCATGCTAGAGATGTCAGCAAACTCCCACCTGTTAACCGGGCTGAAGGCTGTACTGAAACGCCAAACCTGCGGAAAAACCAAACAGTTTCTTACACAGATACTTACAGTTCCAGTAAAATTAAAACAATGTTTTTTACATGTTAGCATCAGTACGTTAGTTTTAAGAAAGTCCAGGCCCGGATTGGCTAATCGGGAGGACCGGGAGAATTCCCGGTAGGCCGGTCCATTTTTTGGCCGCGAGGGCCGGTGTCCCTAGCTCCAGAATCTGTTGCTCTCAGCAGTCACACTTTTTTAATTTATTTATTTATTTACTTGACCACAGTCTTCTTATTCATTATTTTACCGCAGCTCTGCTCTTTTTATATATAACCAGCCTGCAGGTTAATGATGATATAAGTCAGATGAGTCACCTCTCAATATTCAACTGTTGTGGTCCAGTGGTTAGCACGTTAAATTACGACGCCGCTGACCCGGGTTTGATCCTCGTCTGAGTATGTTTTTTTTTATTTATTTTTTTATTGTTAAGACATATAATTCTGTTAGGGTTGTTGAACATTTGCAGTTCTAAAGCAGCTGTTTTCTCCAAAAAAGACGTGATAGTGTAATTAGAAACTGAATTGGAAATGACCTTATTTTAATATCGTCAGTCGTGAACTGAGGTGGGCCGGTCTGAGCCTTGAAACTCCAGGGCTGAAAAGGAGTCCCACTCCGGCCCTGAGAAAGTCTATAAGCAAGTGTGCTACAAAAGTCATGTTTAAAACCTCTTAAGGCCCTGGGTGTTTTTTTACATACATTTTTTATTTCTCTTTGCTATTTGGGCTTATTGGAAACTAATTAAAATAAAAATCTTTTGATATGATGTACTTTTAGAGAAAAATGTTGTCCATATATGTGGACTCGTGGTCTGAATTTACATAAAACACTTTTTCCTGAATGATTTTTTAATGCACATATAACATATACATTTTTTTAACTTGTTTTGACCATCAGAGAGTAAAAACATTTTTTTTCCATTTTGGACAGTTAAAAACAGTGCTTGAGACATTTCATATACTGCAGAACAGTTGCAGGATGACACTGTATGTCTGTAACAAAATATAAAACATTCAAAGTATTTTAAATAGCCACTTAAGAGCTAAAATGTGCTAAATTTATTAAATAGATTAACAATTTTTTTTAACGTCAACTCAAATATTTCAGTTTCTCACCAAATTTTCAGACCAATCAATTACCCTCTAGTTTCTGACATGCCCCACCCTCTTCTTCTTATTTGATGCACTTGAGCTTGACCTCTCTCACTGGCAGAGCTGTGAGAAAAACTAAATGCTGCTGGCAAGTTTTTCAAAAAGGGGAGGGGCTGCTATATGTCCCACCCTCTCTTCATTTTAGTTGAGATTACTTCAAATATAAAATTTTAAAAAATGCTTTTACGGGATCACGGGACCTTTAATAATGGTTCTATGATAAAATGTGTTACCTGCTCAGACTGTTTCTTCCACTGAGCTTAACAAAGAGGTACAGTCAGAAGAATATGTGCAAACTAGGAAAGGGAGATGTGGTGACAACATCATGTCAGTTTTTTTTTTTCAGTAAAATCAAGATTTTAATCACAATTCTTTATTATTATTATTAAGTATTAATTATTATACTGCAAGTTGTATGAGCGGTACAGCCAAGCCAATTTCGTTATTTTAAAAACAAAGCCTTACTAGGCAACATTTCATCAAATAGAAAAGATGGTGGAGACTTGATAATATGGTAGACACTTGGCTAAAGAGAAAAAAATCTTTGGTAACATTTTAGTTGAAGGGGTGTTCATAAGACTGTCATGAAACCTTTATAATTATGGCATGACATCATGTATATAAAGTTATGCATGATCATGACAACAAATTTATTTCATTTCGTAAATGTTATTCACTGAGTAATGTCAATTTAAAGGCAAATCGCATGCCTTTATGACAACTAGGCAAACAAATACATCATGGCTTTGTCATGACAACATTAAATTACCCAGACATCAAATAATCTATGTAAATAATGACATCTCGGCAACATAACTTGTCGTAAATTGTCAGAACATTGTCTGACAACATAACTTGTCATACATCTGTCATAAACATATTTGTCCAAGGCTAATATATATGTGTAATTAATATTGTTCTATGCACTTTTTTCAGACGAACAAACTGAATTTGTCATTAAAATAACTCGGTAAAAGTGCCCATTTTATAACAGCGTCATTCATATTTAATGACAATTAATTACAATGTATCACTGTAATTATAGTCAATAAAAATATTCATGATGCCGTTATAAAATTCATGACAGTTATTATGGCCTCATGACAATCATGTTTATGACAGATGTATGACAAGTTATGTTGTACGACAATGTTCTGACAATTTATGACAAGTTATTTTGCCAAGATGTCATTACATCGAGAGGTTATGATGTATTTAGATCAAGTTGTCATCAAAGACATCTCAAACAATGTCACCTTTGCATTTAAATTGACATTACTGAGAAAATGATATGTATTTAATGATACAAGCATAACATCTCATTCATATTCATGATGTGAAAAAATAAAAATAAAAAAATCCTAATGATTTCTGAAGTATTTAAGTTTATTTATTAAAACCCTTTTTCTTTATTCAGGGAATTTGTTGATTTGCATATTTAAATAACTATTGTTTACATGCATATTGTTGCCATGAAATACATGATACAGAATTTCAGTCACACCGCCCTCCCTTAATTCAGACATACTGTACCTTGTCCTTGATCTGCCAGGTTCGTCTACCATCCAAGCACTGCTTCTTTTCCCACTGCACCACCACCATGCCCCGGCTCTGCAGCAGACTGGCACAAACGTCCCTCATTGTTCGAGACACCATCGACAGCTGGCACAGGCTAAAGCCATCCAGGAACCGGGCTACGTGTTGAAGTACTTCAAACGGCAATCCACTAAGGTGATCACACTTGGGTTCTGTCACAGGATCCAAGACAGGCTGCACCCCGAATGACCTGAGGTGGCGGTCATGAACAATCTTCGACCCTTGTGTGGATGGGCAGAATCTGCGCTGGGAGAACGTGCAGCCGTAATACGCTAACGGGCAGCGGTGCTCCATCCAGCCGTTGAGTCCAGAGTGGATATCTCCGTGAACGTTATGGAAATGCGAGAGGAACTCTTCTCGGCGGAAGAGTTGTCCGCATTCGAAGGTAAACATCGAGCCCTCACGTGGAGCCCAGCTTGGACGAGGCACGAGCTGCTCCAGAGTCAGATCAAGGCGAAGTGTGCAAAACGGACTTGGTTGCGAAAGGCGTGGTGCAGCTCGATCGCAAGCGGATGCGGACGCGACCTCTCCAACCATCGTACTCGTTGCCAAGATGGCAGCAGGAAAACTAAACGTCTGGGTGCCGAAATCAACACGCGTTCCCCCGAATGCGTAAACCGTGTCGGATATCCTCCGAGCTCTCGGCGACTCCTCAAGGCAGAATAGAAGTGCGGCTGCCGTGAAGTCAATTTCTCCAAGTCCCATAGGGTCATCCACCGGCTCCTGATCTAAATCTGACGTATCCACAGCTTTGTCCTCCATTTTGCAGCGTGGATTTCTATAGGGGAACGATTCGGTAAAAGAGCTCTTTCGTCCATTAAGAGCAAGTGGCATAAAACTGCGCAGAAACTGCAGGTTTTGGAGTTTCCTCTCAAAAGCCCGATCCTCAAAGTCTAATGCCATTGAAGGCAGCTCAACGTCTCTCTGGACCGTCAGAGTCTGAGCGTGTACAGGCTGCTGAAGCAATGGGGCTTGTGATCCAGAGGCCTCCTGGATCAAGAAAGCATGTTGGTCATGTCTGATCTCAGGTCTATGGGGAACTAAAGGGCCAACAATCTCCCAAGAGCCTCGGGACTCTGGGATTTGATTGTGATTTGTAGTAGAATCCATTAGGTGATCTACCATACTATGAGAGCCATTGCAGAAACCTTGCCTATCTAGGTCCACTAACATGTCTGGGCAACACTCATCTGCTGCCGCATGAGCAAGAACATCTAAAGCGGTCTCTCCACCATCCAATCCCCCAACAGCCCCAGATTCAACCATTTCAACATCCACAGCCTCCAAGGTTTCTGACGGGATGAGCTCACCGTTCTCAATAACTATCGAGCCGCTAACAGGCTCAGTGCCTTTAACCGCATCTCCCAGTGCACCGAGGGCAGATGCCAAGCTCCTGCCGAGCTCCATGAGTTTGTGGTGCTGTTGAGGCTGTAGCTCCTCCTTTAGACCATTGACTCCGCTGGCTATTTTTGAGTCTTCTGTAGTTCTCACCCTCTCATGTAGTTCCCCATTGCGCTCTGGAAGTGCAGCTGACACATTATTAGCTGTGCAGTCTGTATCTGTAGAATTGAGGTGGATCAGGACGTTCAGAGCTGCAGTCAGGCTTTTGGTTGTCTCTACCGTGGTTTGGTAAAGCTCTCCGTAATGCTCTTCCTTTAGACCATTAATCCCATTAGATATCTTGTCTTTAGAGCAGCCTGCTGCGTGCTCCATCTCAACAGTTTCCACCTGCGCACTTGGAGATTCCGCAGTTGAGACTTGACCAGGCTTTTCGGTTTGTCCAGTGTTTTTCTCTGGACCGCTAGTGGGAGCCAGAGACACGAGTTTGAGAGATGCCAACATGGTGCGCTGGTCCTGAAGGGCGAGCGCCATGTCCAGCTGCTCCACCTCATCTGCTTCTTGACTCAGTCGCTCGTACGAACGATAATCCTTGTCGTTCACTGGCCACCTATTCCACTCCATAGAGCAGCACACCACACCTGCAGGACACACCTCAAGGTGCTCTGCCATCTGGCCACGGGCAAGGGTAAAAGGGCAGCCAATGCTCTGGTTAAGACAAGGCACCCTTTCCAGCGGGCATAGCAGCTTGTGTTCAGTAGCCTTGCAGCTGTGGAAGATGGCGCCACAAACAAAAGAGCAGCTGATGAGGTCACAGGACGTGCCGGGTTCAGGTTTGAGCATGCATCGCCTGTTTATGCAGGACATGCAGTGAGAATGGGGCTCCTCCATTATTAGAGATGACAGCAGCGAGATGCGAAAGAGCGGGAGTCTGAATCCCTGCAAAACAATACGAGAGCAAAGCTGAGATTTGATTTTCAAACATTTAGGCTGTACAATAAGTACACTGACAGTAGAGCTGCACAATTAATCGTAAAAAGATCGCGATCTCGATTTGACCCCCTAGACGATCTTAATCCAGCATTTCTACGATTCTGCCAATCATATTTTCAAGATCAGTCTTTTTATTGCTTCACATACGTTGCTCAGTGACATTGACACCTCACATCAACATTCAATGATGTTGAATGAGTCACGTAATGTATTTATAAGGTATAATTCATCCCCAAAATGTAATTTCTGTCTTCATATAATGATGTATTCGCGGCCGGGAAATTACATGTGACGTAAGCTGCTGACCGAGAGGGCGGGTGCGCACGCTACTTGATAGACGCGCGTGCATCTTCTTTAGTGAACAGAACCTGCATATGTTGCAGGGCTCGAAATTGCGACCTCATAATATATTTGGGCGCATTAGTGCAACCTGTTTGGATTTTTTTTAAAAACGTGCTGAATCGCTCTTCCCTGCCGCTATATTGGTTCATATTAGCTGTCAATCACTCAAGGCTTTCCACTGTTAGATGACAGGGAGGGAGCTTTTATGTCCACGGGAAATGCAAACGGCTAAAGTGTGAAAACTTAAAGCACACAGGTTTGCAAAGTGCAAACCCCACCTAAAGTTGAGGCGCAGATGAGAGCGATCATGACACGTGGTGAATATTGATCCGCCAGCTGAGATCAATCGAGTATGTGCTTTTCGGAGAAGGTGGCCGAATCTCGATGCGTTGCATTCACTGCGTGTTCAGCGCAAATGTCCGCTAAAAGTCAAATCTAATACTGTATCATCGCCAAAGAAGCTCGCCTTTACTAAGTTTACACTGAAACTGCGTCTCATAACAAACAGCGGTATTGCGCCGGTGCTCAACCTGCTCATAAATTGGGTCGGCTGACTCGCCTGCTTTTCCACTAACACAGAAAAATGAAAATCAGCTCAGACGGAACATTTAAATTGACATAAACTGAAACCAAAACTTTTAAAGAGTAAGAAGTGAGACTTTACTTACTTTCTTTTGCCTATTCTTTCTTGAGGTGTATATATTTTTTTTATTTAGTTACTGATGACTGTTTTGCAGCTTTCAGCCTTGAATTTAATATTTTATGATAATCTTTTGTTTGTTTTGCAGCAGAAATATTATTTATTAAACTGACATGCATATATATGCTGTTTAGCAGTACAAAATAAATATTTCTTACTGCAATGCTTCATTTTTGTTTAATGCAAACTATACATTTATTTTTCATAAAGTAACAGACTTTTTATAGCAGATAACTTGCATTCAAGCACATTCAAAGCAGCATGATGATGAGAAATGTAATTCATTGTTACTATTATTGTCATTTTCATCATCATTAATATTCTAGAATTATTAGACATACACATTTTGGAATTATTGCACACAAATATCAATGTAATCTCAGCATTAGTTATAGTTGTTTCTGGTTTTTGTTAGTCCTAATTGATGTTGTTTTAAAATACAATAAGTCCCTTAAAATACAATTTAAAGCGGTGCTCATTCATTTTTGGTGGGTGCTCCTAAATTTTTTCTGGTGCTCCTAAATTTTTGAAGTTGGGAGCACCGGTGCTACCAAGTAAAAAAGTTAATTTCGAGCCCTGTGTTGCGAGTAACAGGTAATACAGTTGTAAATAATAATCAGTTTGTGGCACAGAGTGATCGTTTGGGAGCCGCGTGTGAAGTATGAACAGCACTAGCAGTCAAAATGAAACTGAAAGTGTGCACGTCATTTAAATGATATCGCATTTTAGAGTTAGGCTATGATTATGACAAGCATTTGATATGTTTTTTCTTTCATAGCGAACAGTGTTGTGCATGAAAATAATTGTTTACAGTGTCAGTATAACTACTCTAGCCTGTATATTGTTGAATATAATCTGATAATGACAAATGATTTTACCAGTGAAAAAGATTGTCTTATAATGTTGTCAATGACAGATCGCAAGCATATATCTCAAACATATTAATTCAACATCAGAATTATTATTAGTAGAATAAAATTATTTATAAAAGCCAGTAGAGCTACACATAATATTATTGTTGTTTTACCATATGTTTGAGAAAAAAATAATAATTCAATATCTACAGAATCGTGAGAGAATCGTGATCTTTATTTTAAGCAAAAAAAAAAAAAAAAATCGCGATTCTCATTTTAGCCAGAATCGTGCAGCTCTAACTGACAGTAAATACAAAGTTGTTTATATTTGCACGTTCTGACATTCACCTTCTTAATATAATTTCAGAAAAGTATTAATTTTAAATTATAAATATTAGCAGCAAATGACTACCAAAGTAGAACATTGTTGACAGTCAATTAAAGTGTGTTTATGTTTTTTTGAAGTAATTCTTAAATTCGACTTCAGACCGAATATTCAAAGTAGCATGGTAAACAATAAAGGAACTGTGTCACAAGTTGTGCTCATAACAGTACTCCATTATAATTAATATTTATTAAACTTTTTATGTTCTGCTTTACTATTTTTTTTGAACACCAAAGTTTGAATTTGTGAATATAAAACCAACTTTACCTCAATAACTAGTTATACTTAACAAATAAGCAAATATTAAATAAAATTACTTTAAATATTCTATCCGAATTAGCATGCAAGGATGACTTGTAAACAACATTAACACTATCAAACTGACTGTGAACAATGTTGTACTTTGATAGTCATTTGCTGCTAATATGGTTTCCTTATTTAGCATTAGCAAAGAATAATTGAATTATACTTTAATTATATAAAGGCTGTGAACAATGTTGTACTTTGATGGTCATTTGCTGCTAATATGATTTCCCTATTTAGAATTTGCAAATAATACTTTTCTGAAATTATATTATTAATGAGAATGTCTGAAAAATCACAATATAAAACCAACTTCACCTCAATTGATTTTGCCCACCATACGATCTGAGAAGGGAGTAGGATAGGGATGGTTTAGAGATTGTCATTACAATTTTAATTCAATTGTTTTTTATTGCAATAGTTATAATAATAATAATAATTATTATTATTATTATTATTATTATACTACATTAGGTAATATGATTCAAAGTAATGTTTTCCGTTTATTTTTAAATATTAGGAAATAAATTAGAAAATTACCCATGGCAACTTTAATATAAAATAGTTTGGTGTATGTATATATATATATATATATATATATATATATATATATATATATATATATATATATATAAATATATAAATATATAGATATTTAGTTTTTGGATTGAGGTAAAGTTGGTTTTATATTCACACATTCGTTCATTGAGAAGTTTATTTATTTAATAGAAGTTTATTTAATTGTTTACCATGTTACTTTGAATATTCGATTGGAATTAGCATGCATGTAGGACTTCAAAACAACATTAACACGATCTAATTCACTGTTAACAGTGTTGTACTTTGATGGTCATTGGCTGCTAATATGATTTACCTATTTAGAATTTGCTACTTTAATGAAATTATATTATTAAGGAAAATGTCTGAATATCCAAATATAAAGCCAATTATACCTCTATGGTTTTTGGCCCTTCGTGCAAAAAAAGTTTAGGCACCCCTGGTCTATTTGCAGCAAATAAGTTAATGAACTAAGTAATAAGTAACGAAAGTTAAACAAACTTACTGACTGGTCTTGGTTTATAAGGGTTAGTCGGGTTTATTTTAACCTCAGCTTGTTTTTGTCATTGACTGTTATTATGATATTCCTATTGACAATTTGCAAAGAAAACTTCTCTGAAATTATATTAAAGTGAAAGTCTGAATGTGCAAATATAAAACCAAATTTACGCCAATCTTAATGCTGACTTGATCTTATCCAGCAAAGTTCTAGTTAGCATAAACAAAACTGGCCCAGTTAACTCGTGTTGCTGATGTCCTCCAAGTATTTTAGCAATTACACGACATCGAATCATATATTAAAAAAGAGACGACTTTTAAGATTTCAAGACACTTATAGTTAAAGTTTCTCAAAACGCGCTGCTTTTAATGTTTACAAAGCGATAAGTTGGTAAGTTAGACAAACTGAAAACTTTACAACACTTCAAACTTCAGGACACTTTAAACGGTACAGAATGAAGTTATGAAGCCTCCTCGGGTCTGCGGTAGTATTGTTTGCATCTTTATTTTGTTGACGTTTAACTTTGTTCTACTTTATTGCTTTGTGTTGAGGTTAGCCTGTTAGCTAGCTCAACTTTCTGCCTGGAGTCAACATAAACAAACTCCTCACTCACCCACAGACTGTGTCAACTGACTCCCCGCGTTACCCGCTCGCCTTTTTCTTCACTTGTCCGGTTTTATGGTCAAACGGGACACTTTAAAACACTGCTGTAGTGTAATATACACAATCATCACCGTTTGCCCTGTCCAAAAATACTCAATCCGGCCGGGACGCGCCTCGATGACGTCATTACGCAAAATAAAAAATACAACCGTCATGACGCTGATTTCCATTTTTGCTCGGATATTATTTATAGGCTACTATTCAGGGGAACGTTGGAAAACATTTATTGTTAAAAAGTGTCTTTTTTATCTAACAGTGTCTTTCTTTAATCAAAATGCAAAAAGAAAACAAGAGCCCTGTTTCAGGAAGATTCTGTTACTGTGCCTTATGTAATGTCATATTGGAATGTTTTTGTGAGTGATATTTCCTGGAAAAAAGTTTGGTTATTACACCACAATTTTTTTTTTTATAAGAAACAAAGTTACCTTTAAACTAATTCATAGATGCTATCCAGACACTGTAATCTTAAAAGGCTTAAGAATGATATTAATAACTGTTATTTTTGCTTAGTGAATCCTAAACGTTATTATTATTATTGTTGTTGTTGTTGTTGATGTTGTTGTTGTTGTTGTTGTTATTTTTATTACCACTGCTTGAAATGAAAATGTACGTTGAGTCCATTGAGGGATTAACAAACTTAAAAGCAATACAAACAAGGACCTTAATGAAGGATTTAGCACCTATCTTGGACTAAATGACTGAAAACCCCTGGATTGTTGTTGTTTTATTGATGGCATTTGTTGTTAATGTTTTTCAAGCATTCAATAAAAAATAAATAAAAATAAATATTTGCATTGGCTACTGAAAACTGTACCCTACCTCTTTTTGCACGATAGTTATGTCAAAAAGTTATGATATGACGATTCTATATGCATCAAAGAAAAGGTCTGGCACTTTAAGGCGTGGGTGCTGTTTTATAGAATAGCCAGGTTAATAGAGGCTTTTGAATTGTTTCACTTACTTTTTGAGTGCACTGGACTTATGATTTCGCTGTTTATCTTTATTAATCCCTTACCCAAAGAGCACCGACACATTACCTACCCCTGCCCTGAAGCACCTTTGGTTTGATTTTGGACTCTCATTTCAATTTGCATTTTGAAAACATAATTTGTGGGAGTTTTTGTCATTAATCTATTTATTTTGTTGATTAAGTTTTAATATTTATAAATGTGTGCACTTTGTAACAAAAATACAAATTTTCTGTATTTTTAGGGAGTTGAAAAGTTACTTTTTCTAAGAACAGGAAACTGAGGCTACAATTCACACAGGCTCAACAAAACTGGACAACAGAAGATTGGAGAAACGTTGCTGCTCTGATGAGTCTCCATTTCTGCTGACACATTCAGATGGTCAGGTCAGAATTTGGCATCACCAACATGAAAGCATGGAGCCATCCTGCCTTGTATCAACAGTTCAGGCTGGTGGTGGTGGTGTAATGGTGTGGGGGAGATTTTCTTGGCACACTTTGGGTCCATTAGTATCAACTGAGTATCGTGTCACACCACAGCCTATCTGAGTATTGCTGCTGACCATGTCCATCCCTTTATGAGCACAGTGTCTCCATCTTCTAATGGCTACTTCCAGCAGGATAACGCAGCATGTCATAAAGCTCAATCATCTCAGACTGGTTTCTTGAACATGACAATGAGTTCACTGTACTCAAATGGCCTCCACAGTCACCAGATCTCAATCCAATAGAGCACCTTTATGATGTGGTGGAACGGGAGATTTGCGTCATGCATGTGCAGCCGACAAATCTGCAGCAACTCAGCGATGCTATGTCAATATGGAGCAAAACCTCTGAGGAATATTTCCAGTATCTTGTTGAATTTATGCCATGAAGGATTAAGGCATTTACAGTGTTAATTAAAGATTAACATGGTTCTCGCAAGGTGTACCTAATAAAGTGGCCGCTGAGTGTATATATAAAAATATGGTATATAAACATTATTACGCCTCAATAAAAATAGCTGTGTGTGTGAGTAACATGAATGATTTAAAAGTAACAGGTAGGTACGAATTTCTGTATTATTACTTGGTCTTGTAAAAATACTCTGGTTTTCTTCAGAAACCAGACATCCATCTTGTTGTCGAGAACCTGTTGTTTTTCGATCAAGAATGGAGAACATAAAAACAGATATGCAAATAACAAAAAAATATATAAATTAGTAATTTTACCACAGGTGATTAAAACAACTGGTCTGATTTTATCACAGTATAAAAATAAGTGTTCTATATAATTGTTGACATTTATTTAATAAAAATATATTTTTATTTAAAATACATTTATTATCCAATTGTTGATTTAAAAAAATCATGCAATATGATTTTTGAAAGATTGCACTTTGAATTATGCTGGAGGATTAATAAAAATTCAAATAACCAAAGATAAAAATGCAAATTATTCATTAATTTCTTGACTCATCATTTGAAACGTTTCTTCATTCACAGACTTTAATTTTTCATATGACTTTATGCATAAAAAGATTAATTGCAGATTTATAATAATGTTACATAGTATACCTCAGATAGAAAATACAATATATGGTTTAAAAATAAATTTGATAAATTAACCATTTATTTGATCTAGCTAAATAAACATTCTTGATTGAATCACCTAAAGATCTAGTTACAGAAATGGACTTCTGAAGATAAATACAAAACCTTCATTTAAAAAAAGTCATTACAGCAGATTTCTATGGACAATCAACGTAATTTCAATTTTAAGACACATCACATATTCTTTTTCAATCAGCATAAATGATTATTATTAAACTAAAAACTTCAATCATTCATTTGATTATGATTGGGTTCATTGTAAAGGACATAATCAGTCAAGAATTTAAGTAATATTGTTCACTGACAGCACAGTTTGATTTTGTTGTTTTTAGCATGCAACATAAGATAGCGCATATGCTAGTTCACAGAAGAATGTGCATTTGTGTTGTTGTCCTTGTATCTACGTTGCTGTACAGTTGACCCCGCAGGCCTCAGTGAAGACACACACGGGTCTGGAATATTCGCTCTGGATTGCTCCATCTTTGGCAGACACGCTGACGCAGTACAGTGATGCCGGTTTCAGGTCAGTCACAGTAGCGGTCTCAGTCTTGTAGATGGACAGGATCTTCTCTGCGGGTGGAGACGGGGTGTCTTCTGTGACGATGAGGATGTAGGACTCAGCTCCTGAGATCTGAGACCACTCCACATGCAGGGACTGTCCCGCCACATGGACACCCTTCAGTTCGGGCGCCGGCAGTGTGTCTGCAGAGGACAGAAAGTAGACCAATTGTAATTCTGTGATTCTGTAATTCTGTGTTTGTTCCAATGCATTGAGACCTTTGAGAATCATCTTCAGAACACAACTGAATATATTTATAATGAAAGCTGAGATCCTCCGTAGACTGCAAGAGTCCAGGGATGCTGAATCGAATTTGTTGACAAATCAGAAAGGAGAAAACAGCGCACTCGCTGATGTCATGAGGGGAAAACTCCGGTTGTAGTGTCCACACCAGGGATGGGCAAACTTGATCCTCGAGGGCCGGTGTCCCTGCAGAGTTTTGTTCCAACATTAGTCAAACATACCTGAACATGCTAATCAGTGTCTTCAAGATCACTAGAAATCTACAAGCAGGTGTGTTTGATTAGAGTTGGAGCTAAACTGTGCAGGACACCGGCCCTCCAGGACCGAGTTTGCCCACACCTGGTCCACACTGTACCTGGAGATTTGAAAAATCTCCACCCTGGCAGAAGTTTTTAGAAAGTTTTGGTTTCTGATACTGTGTTTTGCGCAGCACGGTAGCTCAGTGGTTAGCACCCGGGCTTAATTTGTGCTGGAACAAGCCGGATCCGAAACCTCTGAAATCTGATCCGGTACCTCTTTTTACCAATCCCCCTCTTCAACCGCCCTCCTCCTCCGTCAGCTGTTCACTTGCACTTTCTTCCGTGACTCCCCAACCCTCTTAACTTTCGTCCGCGACCCCCCTCTGCTATCCAACGCCCCACCATCTCGCATTTCACTTACGTCCGACACAATACACCCCCCCCCCCATGCTCTCCAATTTCGTGCGCGACACCTCTACATCCTTAGGTAACATGCTGGATCTGTTACCCCGATCTGTTCCAGGACCTCGCAATTCACAAATTAAGCAGTGGTTAGCACTGTCGCCTCACAGAAGGAAGGTCGCTGGTTCAAATCCCGGTTGGACCAGTTAGCATCTCTGTATAGAGTTTGCATGTTCTCCCCCTGTTCGCGTGGGTTTCCTCTGGGTCCCCCACAGTCTAAAGACATGCGGTATAAGTGAACTCATTCATTCATTTTCTTGTCGGCTTAGTCCCTTTATTAATCCGGGGTCGCCACAGCGGAATGAACCGCCAACTTATCCAGTAAGTTTTTTTTTTTTTTTCGCAGTGGATGCCCTTCCAGCCGCAACCCATCTCTGGGAAACATCCACACACACATTCACACACACACACTCATACACTACGGACACCCAATTCACCTGTACCGCATGTCTTTGGACTGTTGGGGAAACCGGAGCACCTGGAGGAAACCCACGCAAAGGCAGGGAGAACATGCAAACTCCACACAGGTTCGAACCAGCGACCCAGCGACCTTCTTGCTGTGAGGCGACAGCACTACCTACTGCGCCACTGCCTCGCCAGTATAAGTGAACTGAATGAGCTAAATTGGCTGTAGTGTATGTGTGTGAATGCGGGAGTGTATGGGTGTTTCCCAGTAATGGGTTGTGGCTGAAAGGCCATACGCTGCGTAAAACATATGCTGGATAAATTGGTGGGTTACTCCACTGTGGCAACCCCTGATAGTGGAAAAAACAGTCTCCTTATAAAAGCCGGCGTATCTGCGCGCTGCTACATTGAAAACATATGATTTGATTCGGCTCTTCTGATTGGTTCTCGGGATATCGCAGCTTTTACTGTCAAAGGCAAGTGGCGTTTAGTGGCTTTTGCCAACAAACTTACTTCTGAATGAGCTGACCCTGGGATTTAGATGATTTGAAGCAAATCTATTTGTTGAACATGTTTTACATGCCCAAAGCATTCACTCAATAGCTATGTTTCCATCCACCTATTTTGTGTGCATTTTGCAAATGCGCATAAAAAAACAGTTGATGGAAGCGCCATGATGCGCATAAATTTTGAAAATGTGAATTAAAAACGTATGCGCCTAACTGGGTAGGATAAACTTTTTATTCGATAAGAAAAGATGGGCATAAACTGCGATGGAAACACTTTTACCGCACAAACTCCAGCATGCGCATTAAAAAAGGTCATGTGATTTTGTTGAAAGAGATCATGGGATGCTTAAAATGTGTGTGAATGGATAAAACGTCAGGCTGAGCACATTATAAAACATCTGAAATGTTGTTTTGGTCATTATAAAGCGCCTTACCATTTCAGTATTTGTGTTATTATATTATTAATGACCTCCAGAATCAAGAGCGCCTGTGCTCCGCGTCTGACACCTTCAAACGCTGCTGCAGGCTCACTGCTTGTCAGGATTGTCTCCTAGGGTGCATCCATTTAGAAAAGATTGATGCAGCTTCTCCTACTGCAGCAAATGCAGTATTTACTGTTGATATTTGGCGCCAGTTAATCAGGAAGTGACGATTTCGTTCGCTTTGACTCGTTGGATGGAAACGATGCTTCATTCGCACAACTTTTATGCGATAATCCAGTTTTGTGCATAAAGTTTATTTGCATTTTTGGATGGAAACATAGCTAGTGTCATCATCTCATTATTGGCGTATGTGGCATTTAGTGGCTTTTGCATCTGAACTCTTCATATATTGCTAATAATACTCTTTATTAGTGCTCTCAAACAATTAATCAGTCAAAATGAAAGTTTGTATATATACACAAGTATGAGAAACTGCTTCAAGCCAGCTTTTGCTCAGTTTTCAGTTTCTTCAAATTTTCCTCTATATAAGCAATATCTTATGGATCCATATATAAGTTCTTCATCATTTCTCGGTTTGACATTAATCATAAATTACACAAATATTTTGAAGTTCTGCTAGTGATTTCTATATAAAAGAATCACTTCTTACAGCAATCATGTCATGTGCAAGCAACCTATTACAGTTGAACCTCTAAGTCACATGTAATGTTTTTGGTTCCTTTTCTGGACTTTAAGCATTTCAGGACTGCTGCTGTGGAGGATGAGGGAGCTCTCAGATTTCATCTAAAATATTTTCATTTGTGTTCTGAAGGTGAATAAAGATATCAGTGGATTGAAGCAACATGATTGGGTGATTAATAACATTTATAAAACATAAATAAATGGGTGGTCATGTCTTTAAATCATGGATAAATATCAGATTTAAACAGCTCTTAATTATCGTGCAGCAATCTCTGAAGGAATCTGTAGTTTGTAGATCTCACCAATCAGTTCTGCATTCATTCGTGCAAGTTGTAGATGTCTTCTTCGCCGGATTAAGGTTTGACCTGTAAAAGATATGCAATAAGAGAGGTTTTGCTTTGCACATTCAAGGTTAAATAAACATACACAGTACAGTACATCCCCGATTTTACAGACAGACAGACAGACAGATAGACACACGACAGACAGACAGACAGACAGACAGACAGATAGATAGATAGATAGATAGATAGATAGATAGATAGATAGATAGATAGATAGATAGATAGATAGATAGATAGATAGATAGATAGATAGATAGATAGATAGATAGATACCTGTAGATAGGTAGACGGACGGACGGACGGACGGACGGACGGACGGACGGACGGACGGACAGACAGACAGACAGACAGACAGACAGACAGACAGACAGACAGACAGACAGACAGACAGACAGACAGACAGATAGATAGATAGATAGATAGATAGATAGATAGATAGATAGATAGATAGAGTCAATATAAGTCAATACAGTCAGAAAACATTATACATTTGTAAGTGTACTTAATAAGTGTCTTGAAGGAAAACATTTTTAATTATCGTGTGAAATTAGAGTTTTAAATAGTGTTTCTATGCGCTATGGTTTTTGCCAGGAGGGAAGAATCACCTGTGGTGGACGAATTATTAGCCAAGAAAGTGACATTCATTGTCAGACAGGGTGCTGCAAGACAAAACAGAGTCATAGATCAGCAGAGAGAATATTTAATAGCAATATTTCAGTACACAAGATGCTTTGTTATCTAGTATATCTAGATTTAGAAGCTTAATTTGATGGCTTGGCATGACATACTGATATCTTATTAAAAGATTATTTTAATAAAACCTTTTTGATTTAAAATGTAAAAGCACCTGTAACTCCAGTAACAGTGTAAGAAGCTGAGCTGATCCCAGCTGAGTTTTGTGCAAAGACTGTCACATTGTAAGAAGTGCTGCAGGGTACAGGAATCTCAAAGAAGTTAACATTTGTCCAGTAGGAGGACACGTCCATGCTGGTCTGTGGGTTTTGCTGGATGTAGCCGGTCACTCGCACAAGGTATGTAACGTTTGGACAGTCAACAAACTTCCAGTCGACCCTGATTAGAGTGGCATTGTCCATCAGATGAGTCCTCACTCTCACGCTGCTCGGAGGACATGGCACTGCAGGAAACATTAGAACAGGGTTATTATTAATACGGACTTGTTTACACTTGGTATTAAGATGCATTTTCATCAATGTGATTACAAGTGGACCACGATAGGAACAGATGTGAATGAGTTGTGAAACATTTTAAGTTTGCCCACTTTAACCACTTCCAGAGTGTGAAGATGTTGATCCAGATGTGGTTAAATGTGTTCAAACAGCCGCTGAATGTGGTGATCATTGCTTGCAAGTGTGATGTCTAGAGGTTGACTATCGTGTATCCAAAATTGAATACTTCCATAGTATATAGTACATTAAAAATAGTACGCGAGATAGTACGTCTGCATTCATAGTACTCAAAAACCGATATGCAAGAAGTACCTGGATGACCTACTACTTCTGAAGAGATTCTGAAGTGTGTATTTGAGGAATGATATGTTATCCTATGATGCTACACAAGAGAATTCATGAATTTGTGAAGCAATGAAACTGGTGTGTTGAGTTAAGTAATGCTTAAAGCTGTGGTAGTAAAATGAGCATAATGTTGAAGCAAACTCTGATAGGAAACAAGGTTCGTGGCACAAAAACAGCAGAGCTTTTTTAATGCCACAGTACACCACTTCTGGTTCTTCTGCTTGTGATTCCATTCATGTTTTATCAAACTAAATACATTTCAGGTATTTAGTACCCTTTTCCTATGTAATCTCCAAATTAGTCTAAACCAGGGCTTAATTTATGCACTTATTTAAAATGTTTACTGCACTGTTGAGCCAATCCGAAAAATTGGTTTCTGAGTGTGCAATCCATTTTAAAACATGGACAAGTATAAGCCACTTTGGGATGCACAAAGCTTTGCTTAGGCCCCCCAGAAGTCTAGGACTGGCCCTGTGTAAAGTTATCAAGCATTTGTAGTTGTATACCTGCTCCCTTCTGGATCGGAGCAGTCTGGGAGCTGTTACAGGTTCCATCTGAAGACAACGCTGTGAAGTTGTAGAGCGTCCCACAGGTCAGTCCGGAGATGCTACAGGAAGTGTTAGTGGTGTTGCAGCAAATTGTGTGCCCATCCAGGGTTTTGGCCCATGAGAAGTACTGTAGAGCGCCTTGGCTCTTTCCCCAGGAGAGCGTGGCAGTCCTGGTGTCGCACTGCACTGCCACAGACAAATTCGGTGGCGCACAAGGCACTAAGTAGACAAGAAGAAATACAGTAGGAGATTTTACATGAAGACGCACAATTATTTTGCTGCTTGTTCATCATGACAAAAATGTTTAATATAATTATACTCATCCACTTAAATCTGTGAAAAAAGAAATGTAATTGATTATTGTGCTGGGCAACATGGATGAATTTTGTTGATGAACTATCTGGTTGGTGGATGTGTTGTTCCTAGCATGCTTTTGTGTGGGATTGCATTACGAAAGAAACCTTAGGGGTTTTAATCTAAGAGAAAGACGTGTTAGAGTTCAATCTAAAGATATGGGCCGTTTCCAACAAGAGGATCATTTCAATACATTTCAAATGACTAGAGAACTACACATGAGCCACTGACATGAACTACAATTCCCAGAATTCTTTGCCGTCATTACTCCTGCCACAGCTGAAGCTCATTATCTAGACTTTTTAAACCACTCACTTTCTCACACACTTTGCTGAGTCTTGTTCGTTGTTGACCTGTAGCATTACGAAGCGTCAATCTTGTCTAGTGTTTCTGCATTTTAATCCTTGCCTTGTTTTCCCGTTATTGGTTATTTGCTGGCTGAACTGACCATTTGCTTGTTTATGATCTTGAATTACTTTTATGCTCCTGTTTGCAACCTGTTTGACCGTTGCCTGCCCGACTACTCCTATTGCACGTGGATCCTCAACTCCGCTGTGCAGTGTTGAGAGTGTAGTACTGTACACATTTATTTCTGTTTCCACTGTCACTCATTTTGGCTTATGTCACTCTGGATTATGCTTTTATAAGACAAATTCCCTTTGATTTGCAACCTGAAAGGTGCTGGGAAACACCCACACACTCAGTCATTTACACACATTCATTAACTACAGCCAATTTAGTTTACTCAATTGACTTATACCATATGTCTTTGGACTGTGGGGGAAACTGGAACACCCATAGCAAACTCATGCGAACACAGGGAGAACATGCTAACTCCACACAGAAATGCCAGCTGGCCCAGGCAGGATTCGAACCAGCGACCTTTTTACTGTGAGGCGATTGCCACAATGTTGCTTGTTTCCACTGGCAGAAATACCAAAATAGTGAACCATACCATATCACATTCAGGTAACTGGCACAACAGAATGGTAGCAAAAGGGTGGAGCCAGACTTGCTGCTGAATTCTGATTGGTTTACAAAGAATCGTCACCTTCTTGTACAACAAACCAGGGGAACGACAACACAGGAAGCTTCATTTTCAAATACACAGCTGAATCATGACACCGTGATGGCATGCAGCAATGAACCATGGTAATTCTGAACACAAACATAGCTTTCTTTGTCGATTTCCTTTTTAATTTTACCTCTTTCCAAGATCAGCCATATGTTAAGAAAAAAGAGCAGGATCTGCTGTATCCCCCATTAATTCTGGGGCATTGTTAGCATGCCACATCTAAAAACGTGTGGAAAGCATGGGGTGCAACTTCCTTTATATTTAGTTGCATTTGCCAGACATCTACATTTAAAATAATGAATTTTAGCAATCAATCGATGCAATATGTAAATGGCTCATACAGCTTTCCTATTTGATCAAGAATAACATTGATCACAATTAACATTAATCAAAAATTAAGTTTTTAATTGTTCCAGGAGACCCAATTAACCGGTATGAGGTCTTACCAGTATGGAAGTTGACCTGCTGACTGGCCGGGCTGGTGCAGTTGTTATTAGAAGCAGTTATGCTGACATTGTAAACCTGTCCGCAGTGCAGGTGAGGCAGGGTGCAGTTGTTTGTGGTGCTTTTGCAGGTCAGCACATCTCCGTCACTACTGCTGGCCGTGAGCAAGTATGACTGTGCAACCAGAGATGGTGACCACGATGCCATCATGCCATTTGAGTCGCACATGGAATTAAGTACTACATTCTGAGGAACACATGGTGCTGCAAGAGAGTTACACAAAGAGGTTTTACCATAGGTGCATCACAATGATCTGAAATCCCATACGCCATCAGGTCTGAGTTGCGTACCTGTGCTCATTTCGAAAGGTGGGCTTCGCAAGCTGCTGCATTTGTCGGAGGACGCAGAGACAATAATAGTGTAGTGCATTCCACACCTGGCGCCAATGAGGTCGCAGGACGTGCTTGTGCTGTTGCACATCAAAATGCTATGGTCATTTCCTTCAGCCGAGGCCACATACAATGAGGATCTGTCATTCAGCTGCCAACTAACAGTAATGTGGCTACTGTAACAGTCAGTGTGTGCAGTGATGGAGGTGAGAGAGCATGGAGCTGGAAAAAAAAATGACAGGGATCAGTGACCGGTGGCTTTAAAGCTCTGAGTTTAACTGATGGGTGGTTCATTTAAGTGTGTTCGCACCTGTCTGAATCTGAAAGCTTGTGCCAGGGCTGCTCTGACAGAATGAATTCAGAGCAGTGACGTAGAAGGTGTACGTTCCTCCACATTGCAGGCCAGGAACATTGCAGTTCAGAGTTGTAGCTGAGCAGCTGGAGTTAGCGCCTTGCTTTTCCACAGCCAGTACAGAGTAAGACAAAGCTCCCTTTGCTTGTAACCATGTCACCCAGACTGAGTTGGTAATGCAGTCCAGGTTTCCTGCCTCTCCTTGAGGCACACAAGGAGCTAAAACACGCAAATACAAGCTGTTAACTTCCTCATGGGTGTAAGATAATAATCATAATCCAGTGTAATGTGAAAAGCTGTGACAAGCTATGCCATCTACACCCAACTTTAGTAGATTTCTCGTATTTGTGTGTAGTTACCTGAGGTGACATTAACAGCTGTGCTGGGCTGGCTCTCACAGTCTCCTCTGAGCGATGTCACAGTGACAGAATAAGACTCTCCGCATGGCAAGCCAAAGATTGAGCAGGTGGTGCTGGTGGAATTACAGGACAGGAACGTTCCTTCACTGCTTACTGCCTTCACGCGAAAAGATTGTGCATCTGGATTGGCTGACCATGAGATGGCCATAAAGCCAGCAGAGCAGTTCACCACCACATTTACAGCCTGAGGAGGACAGGGTGCTAAAACAGAAAGAGACATTTCAGCCATCTTTAAAATTAAGTGTAGGGTCCTGGAGGGAGTAGGGGAGGATTCTCTAAAGGTGTAAAGGTGTAGGCATAGTTTGGTCTGGTACAGATTACATCTGGGGTATTTTAGACTGCATTACATACACTCTAAAGTAAAGGTACAAGAGCTGTCACAGGAGTGGTACCTATTCAAAAGGTAAATATTTGAAACTTAAAGGGTCCTTATTAACACCCCAAGGGTACATATTAGTGCCTAAAAGTACAAAAGTACACCTCTCGAAATGTTTAGTTTGAATACTTCCATAGTAAATTAAAATAGTATGCGAGATAGTACGTCCGCATTCATAGTACTCAAAAACCGATAATCAAGAAGTACCTGGATGACCTACTACTTCCGGCGAGATTCTAAAGTGTGTATTTGATGGATGATATGTTATCCTATGATGCTACACAAGAGAATTCATGAATTCGTGAAGCAATGAAACTGTGTGTTTTGTTAAGTAATGCTTAAAGCTGTGGTGGTAAAATGAGAGAAATGTTGAAGCAAACTCTGATAGGAAACAAGGTTGACGTGGCACAAAAACAGCAGAGCTTTCAATGCAGAGTATTCAATGTTTAGTTACTAATATATACCTTTGAGGTACCAATATATGCACTTTAAGTACAAATATGTACCTTTTGAAAAGGTACCACCCCAGTGACAGCTCTTGTACCTTTATTTTTGAGAGTGAACTATGTACCTGGTTTGTTTTAGTACCACCTCAAGTGAGGTTCCAAGCAAGCAATACTGTTACCAAAAGATGATGTATAAAACTGCTGATCATCGACTGCTCTCAGAATAGCATCACTACCAACATCATTAGATTTGTGACACAAGACACTTAACCCACTATATTTAAATAGTCAGCAGCCCCTGCTCAAGAATTCCATCATTGTACCACCCGTTGCCTCTGTGTTGATGGTTGGTTTGTGCCACATGTTGCGTTTATAAGGATGTCACAGCAGTAGAAGTGGCACAACTACACATTTTAAGAGGTAATCCACTGGTTTGGTGTGATTTGACCATGTTAGACATGTTCCTGAATCCACATTCAACCCTAACCCTAATTATCCAATCAGATTAAAGGGATAAGTTCACAGTTTATATTAAGTTAAGTCTTACTTAAGATTGCATGCTTCTACATCACTCTTATCCAACTATTAATCCCCTCTGATTTTTGGGAATAGTTTACAGTTCAGTTAGGTTTAGGGGTAGGGTTTAGATGTGGATTACATTTTAAAATAGGAATGATGTTGCAGGACCCGCATAGATTTTTAATCCATGATCACATCCTTCTTGGCAAAATCACACTCACTAAACTCCAGTGCTAATGCAAACAAACCAAACCACACTGAACCATACCTTACCATGCTATGCATTGGAAACGTAGTTTAAGTGGTTGTTGCCATGTGGCTACCTTTCTAACAAAGAGATTGTTTAAAATGCTACAGTTGTTCCATCTAGAGTTTCCAACCAGCTCCTAGAGCAGGGGTCACCAATCTTAATCCTGGAGGGCTGGTGTCCCTGCAGGGTTTAGCTCCAACTTGCCTCAACACACCTGCCTGGATGTTTCTAGTATACCTAGAAAGACCTTGATTAGCTTGTTCAGGTGTGTTTGATTAGGGTTGGAGCTAAAATCTGCAGGACACCGGCCCTCTAGGAACAAGTTTGGTGAGCACTGTCCTAGAGAGTTACCTTCTTGCAGACATTTGTCACCCTGCTCCTGCGCTCCTGATTGTAATTTTTACTCCCAAGCAAGGAGTTTAAACAAGTAATGGAGTACAATGTACAAGAATGAAGACCCCTCCCTGCTGAAAAATCCAGCTTGAACCAGCCTAGGCTGGTTGGCTGGTTTTAGCTGGTCGACCAGGCTGGTTTTAGAGGGGTTTTGGCCATTTCTGGAAAATGACCAGCTAAATCCAGCTAAAACCAGCTTGACCAGCTTGGCTTAAGCTGGACATAGCTGGTTTTGGCTGGGCTTCCAGCCTGTCTAGGCTGATCAAGCTGGGTTTAGCTGGTCATCTCTCAGCCTGACCAGCTAATACCAGGCTGGAAATGGCTGGAAACCAACCTGGAAATGGCTAAAACCCCTCTAAAACCAGCCTGGTCGACCAGCTAAAACCAGCCAACCAGCCTAGGCTGGTTTAAGCAGTTTTTTTCAGTAGGGCTGGTTTAGACTTTTTAAAAACACAACCTTAAAATTACACAGTTTTTGCAAATGCAAAACAAAATGAATGTTTACCACTTACCAGTAGTCAGTTGTGTGAACAAACTATATTCACTGCTGCACGCTTGATCCATGGAAAGCACAGAGATATTGTATGTCTGTCCACAGCTCAGGTGCTCCAGGTTACAGTGCGTCACATTGCTGTTGCAGGAGGCTCTTTGGGCTCCATCTACTGTGATGCCCGCAGCCTGGTAGGACAGCGCCCCACTGGCACTTTGCCAAGTTACAGCCGCGGAGTTAGACAGGCACACAAGAGATGCTTGCACACTGGTAGGTGGACATGGAACTGAGGGATAGGAGCCAATCATGAATTAGCCTTGTCAATAATCTGTGCATGTTCCTCCCAAAACTTTATTAAACATCACATTGTTAAAAAAAAAAATCATCTAACCTGATTGTAACTGTGCAAGGGCATTTTGACTGTCACACTGGCTATCCTGTGCAGTGACTGTGAGGTTGTAGGTTTGGCCACAATGGAGGCTGGGTAATCTGCAGCTGGTGGTGGGACTGGTACAATGCTTTTGGTCCCCATCTGAACTTGATGCGAAGACCAGGTACGAAGCAACGAGTTCCCCTTGTTCCCAAGACACTATTCCAGTGTGGCTGCTGCACTCCATCTGACCGATGACTTTCTGTGGCTTACATGGAACTGCTCAGACACAAATGTTATGGGATAGACAAGCAGGAATTAGCTTGTTTTATTGGGTATTCAAGTAAATATCAGTAAATTATTTGCAATCAGTCATCCCACCTGTGTCCAGACTTATGCTATTACTCTGTACGCTGGTGCAGACATTATCAGAGGCCGACACACTGATGCTGTAAGTGAGTCCGCACAGAAGATCAGTCAATTTACAAGTGGTTCCACTGCTGTTACAGGATGATGCAAAGCCCCCTTTGCCCTGAGCGACAGCGTTGTAAGACGAAGCTCCCAGGCTAGGCTGCCAGGACACATCAACCATACCAGATCCACAGCTCAGGTTTGCATGAATTTGACTGGGAACACATGGCACTGTGGAAAAATGGAAGATTATGCCTAGGATTGTATTCTGAAATTGCATTTGAGAGTTTCTCACACTCACTATGGTAAAGATGCAATGTATTGTGCAGTTGCCTACCTGAATGCAGTGTTGTGATTGCACTCTTGGACACATTACAGTGATGACCAAGGGCAAGCACACTGATGTTGTAAACGGAGCCACAATGAAGATTAGGCATAACACAGGAAGTGTTTGTGCTGTTGCATCCATTTGTTAGGCCATTTGCACTAATAGCATGCACCTCATAGGATTCTGCTCCCATAGCTGGACTCCACTGCACATTGGCAGAACTTAAAGAGCAGAGCATATTTGAAAGCACATTCTGGGGTGGACAGGGTACTGTTCACAGGGAGAGAAGAAAAGAGAGAGCGAGAGAATAAAGCATGTTAAAGAGCCATTGTTAAGAAAATGTTTAAATTATTTCAATAGATTACTTTTTTTTTTTTTTGGAAAAACAAAGTAAAGAACATCATATGCCTGCATTCCTGTGAATTTGCTTTTAAAAAAGTAGGTTTACAAAGTGGAAGCGACATGTGCTCCTGCTGCACCAGAACACAGCAGCACACGTGGTCTTCAATGAACCTAAAAGAGCACATGTCACTCCGTTGCTCATCCGTTTGCACTGGCTGCCAGTTGCTGCTCGCATCAAATTCAAAGCTCTGATGTTTGCCTACAAAGCGACTTCTGGCATTGCTCCTTCTTATCTGCTCTCACTTCTGCAGATGTATGTGCCCTCCAGAAACTTGTGTTCTGTGACTTGCGTTGCGCTCTCCTTCAATCTGCCTAGTTGGTGGAATGAACTCCCTAACTGCATCAGAACGGCAGAGTCACTCGCTGTCTTCAAGAAACGGCTAAAAACTCAACTATTTAGTCTCCACTTCACTTCCTAATCTGCAATTGCCTCTGGATATACCACTAACTGTACTCAAAAAATATATATATATAAATAAATAAATAAAAATACTAATACTTTCCTTCTTAGACTTTACAGACCTGAAACTTGCCTATAGCACTTATTCATTGTTGCTCTTATAGCTGTGTAAATTGCTTCCTTGTCCTCATTTGTAAGTCGCTTTGGATAAAAGCGTCCGCTAAATGACTAAATGTTAATGTAAAATGTAAATGTGGAAGTTGCATTTTAAGTAATTTTCTCTTTCCTACCTGACGGCACTGCCAGAGGTGTGCCAGGTCTGCTTAGACAATGTCCATCATATGATACCATGGTAACATTGTATGTTTGTCCACAAGTCAGATTGCTCAATTTACAGTTAGTAGAGTTGCTGGAGCAGGTGGAAAGCAGCCCCTGTGTTGTTCTGGCATTAGCAGTGTATGAAATTGAACCAATGGTGGGTTTCCATTGCAGCAGTACAGAGTCAGTGTAGCAGTCAAGCTGTGTAACAGTAACTACTGGGGCACAGGGAACTTAAGAAGACAAAAACATATAATCTGTTATACAAAACACAGTGTTAAAACAAAATAGAAAAAGCAAAAGATGATAAACTATTCTTTTATCTAGAAAAGGGGTGTCTAAAGCTGTTCTAAAGAGCTAATGCCCTGCAAACTTTAGCTTCAACCAACATACTTGGTATATTCTGGCTCAAGCCCAAATGCCACACTTCATGCACACATGACTTAAAATGGCCACTAAGTCCACAAGACTATAGGATGTCATCACAGCTAATCAATTCAGTTACTTCTGAGACAATACTGAGACTGCTCTGCAACTGACTTTTCACAGTCAAAGCAATTTAGATATAAACTGTCTATCTAAACTAAACTAAATCTCCAATGGACAGGTCCCTTTCAAATGGGTGGGGTTTGAGCTCTAAGTGGGCTGTACAAATGTCCTGGGGCTTTTGATTGTTTGATTGATTGATTGATTGATTGATTGATTGATTGATTTAATGTCTTGTACACACAATAAACCTGTAAACCTATCCCTTACAGTAACCCAGCATTTCTCAGTCCTGATTCATGTAAAGTAACATCTACACATACCCTACCAACACCCAATCTGAACCTATCCCCTACAGTTAAGTGCAAGGCATCACAAAAATGACACCATGTTGTTCACATTTTCAGTAGCCACAATTGCAAACTCTTCTAGTCTTAACCTAACGTCCATTTCCAAAGTCCCTCCTACATGTGGCTTTTGTCTCTCCCATTTGCAGATCTCCCAACCAATCTTTGGCCTAAGTCTCCCCACTTAGAGATCTTCCAACCAAACATGTGGCTTAAGTCCCTCCCATTGGAGATATTTCAAACTACTTGTAGTGTAATTCTCTTCCTCTTGGAGATCTCCCAACCTACTTGTGGTGTAAGCCTCTCTCACAATGAGATCTTCCATTGTATAGGTAGCATAAGTCCCTCCCACTTGGAAATCTCCCTACCTACACATGACTTATTTCCCTCCCACTTGGGGACCTTCCAATCTATTTGTGGAGTAAGTACCTCCCACTTGAAGATCTCCCAACCTAATTGTGGGGTAAATCTCTCCCACTTGGAGATCTTCCATTCTATATGTAGCATAAGTCCCTCTGACATGGAGGTCTCCCAAATTATTTGTGGTGTAAGTCTCTCTCACATGGAGATCTTCCATTCTATAGGTAGCATACTGTAAGTCTCACCCTTAAGGAGATCTCCAAACCTACATGTGGATTATGTCACTCCCACTTGGAGATCTCCCAACCTATCTTAGGTGTAAGTCTCTCTCACTTGGAGATCTTTCTACCTACATGTGGTGTAAGTCCCTCCCATTGGAGATCTTCCAAACTAGTTGTAGTGTAATTCTCTCTCATTTGGAGAGCTCACAACCTAATTGTGTTGTAAGTCTCTCCCACTTGGAGGTCTCTCTACCTACACGGGGCTTATGTCTCTCCCACTTGGAGGCCTTCTAATCTATTTGTGGCTTAAGTACCTTTCACTTGGACAACTTTCAAACTACTTGTGGAGTAAGCCTCTCTCACATGGAGACCTGCTAACCTACTTGTAGTAAAGGTACCACACATAAGGAGATCTCCCGACCTACTTTTGGCATAAGTACCTCCCTCTTGGAGCTCTTTGGGTTGCAGGGCTATATACTTGGTCAAAGCAGCATTACATCATTAAAGAATGCCACTTAGTATAGGACCTCAAATGAGTCAGAAAACCTTGAATAGCTCATTTAGATGTGTTTAATTTAAGCCTGTTCTAAAATTTACAGGGCAGTGATCCTCCAGTAACAAGTTTAGACACACCTGATCAAGAACAACAAACCAAACCATTACCATACCTGTTCGGAAGCGTTCCGTCTGACTGGGCAAGCTGGAGCATTGATCTCCAACAGCAATCACCTGAACAGTGTAATTATCTCCACAGATCAGATCACTAAGAATGCAGTGTGTATCAGGTCCAGAGCTATCACAGGATATGAAATTGAATGTTGTGCTCCAGGCGTACACAGTGTAGTACATCGCCCCCATGCTTGCATTCCAGGACACATGAGCTTCCGCAGTTGCACAGTCCATCACCACAGACACACCTGTAGGAACACAGGGTACTAGAGAGAGAAAAATAGAGAAAGTTAGGTAAATTCACAAAAAAAATAGCTATTGATAGCATAACATTTATACCTTGAAATGCAGATGAAGGTCATAGTAACCATTTTTTTAAACCACACACACATTAGGGTCACTGCACCAATGGATTCCAGTTCTACACTTGCCAGTTTTTGATTGTCAATAGGATCTGACATGGGAGGCAAGTTCTCTAACAATTACACTAAAAACCAAAGCCTCTGGTTTCTGTCTCCAATGTGCTTTTATATATCAGAGTAGTAACGTCGGACATAAAAGGTGCAAATTCTGATGGTCGAAAGATGTCCATGCAGTTCTTAAGCAGTGATATATGATATGATTTCATGACCTGGTAAATCCTGAAGCAATCACGCTGATAATAAAGCAAGGATGTTTGAAGGAGGACTGGACAACTTTAGTTAGATCATCAGAATAGCTTAATCAAACACACACACCTCAAAAATTCAAGACTACTGGAATGACTAGAAGCTTGTGAATCACTTGGCTCATAAGTTCCTCTTACATGGTACAAGCCTTGCTCGTGTGATCATCAACATTTCCACAAGACTTCTCTCGATGGGATAAATTATGTACAAGTTTGTTTGACAGCAAAAATCACACCGCATATGTTCAGCTTAAAGTTTAGCTGTAAAGCTCATTAGCTAGACTCCATTAGTGTTAGCTAAATACAAATGTTGAGGTTGTGTCTGAAATCTGGTTAATTGTGTGTAAAATGTATATCGAGGCTACTTTGCATGCATTACCTGTGTTTAGAGCAGACAAGGCACTGGGTGTTGAGTTACACTGACGATTGGAAGCAACTACACTAACATTGTATGTTACACCACAGGACAGTTTAGTCATGCCACAGCTCGCTGACCACGACATGCATGTTCCCAAAAGCCCAGTTGGGCCTTGCACTGTTGCCGTGTAATATTCGGCACCATCAGCTGAGTCCCATGATATTGTAGCAATGTTGGAGATGCAATCCGTAAACCCAGTGACAGATGTCGGAGAGCAAGGTTCTGCAAACATAATCCAAGTCATTCAACAAGTGGGTCAAACTAATTTTGTCCTTAGGAAACCAAAAGTTGCCTACATGTTTTGACACCGTGTCTGTGCATGTGTGTGAGAGGATCCTAACCTGTCTGCAGCACTGAAACATTGCTGGCTGTGCTCCAGCATATATGTCCAACAGCTTGCACAGTCATTGAGTATGACTGACCACACTTGAACTCAGAGATCTGTGCACTTGTGTCATTGGTAGAGAGTTCCACCTGGTGACCGGTGTTTGATTCTGCAGACACCATGTACATCTGAGCACTTTCACTTGCGGCCCAGCTGAGGGAAGCTACTTTCATGGCACAATCATACGAGGGCACCAGTTTGTGAGGGACGCATGGAGCTGTAAACAATACAAAATAGCTCTTGGTAGATTAACAACCAACAATTGTGTAAGCACACAGTCAATCTAGATCTAAATCTACAGAACAGGGAATGGGTTTTTGCATGAAATTCTACTCTTATTTATTTCTTAGCAACTCACCCATGTGGATGTTTGTTCCTACACTTGGCTTACTGCTGCAGATTTGAGCACTGGCGATGATTTGGACAACATACGTTTCTCCGCAGTGCAGGTCCTCCCAGGTGCAGGACGTTGTATTCGTTATGCAAATGTTTGTGTGGCCATCCTGTCCAGTGGCAATGGCGGTGTACATTTCTGCGCCTTCACTGGCAGCCCAGCTGACAGCACCAAGGGTATTCTGGCATTCCACAAAGGTATTGGTGTTGTACGGCACACATGGGGCTATAGAGAAAAAAAACAAACACACAATAGATACACAACCCAGTAACACAGCTCAAAAATAGTATGAGAAAACAAGTCAGAAATTGTCACTTGTTATTACAGCCATTATGAGTGTTGGTTCATACCAGTCCTAAAATTGGCAGGGGCGCTTGGTAGGCTGTCACATATATCATTTTCCCCTACTGTTTTAAAGGTGTAGGTTTGTCCACAGAGGAGATCCACTGTTAGCATAGGTACAGATGTTTGGAGGGATTCTGTGTATCCTAGATTGCTTGTGATAAGCACGGTGTATCTCGATGCACCTCTGCTGTTGTTCCAGTTCAGATGAACAGTGTTATTGTCACATGATCCTGTAGCTGTCAGCTGGGCTGGCTGACAAGGTTCTGAAGAAATGGAGAAAGAAGAGGTTTTCATTTCTTTGAATACACAAACTGCGTTTCTTAACTACACAAAGAGTGCTGTACTTTTTGGAAAGTTTCCTACAAACTTGTGTTGCTGTCATTAAAATAATGTGTAGTTTCAGTCTTGAAGTATGCTAGGACATTAATGTGAGACCAATGATCAATCCATACAAACCGGAGTTTCTTGTTTCAGGGGTTGGGTTACCTTGAAACTTACTGACAAGTGTGTTGAGTTGGAGGGTCACGAAACACCCAAACACATGTGTTGAGCTGTTGACAGTAGTATATGTGTCCCACACTGCTAAAAACACTATTAGGACACCTATATTTCACTAAAAAGTGTAAATTGGTTGTTTTTGCGTTATTTCAAGCAAATTCGTACTTCCGGTTTGAAACGAATTTTTGAAGCTGCGTCACGGTCATGACATAATAGCATGTATTCCAGCGTGCAGACTGGACGTCTGTGCCAGAGTGAGTCTTATTATGTCTTACAGTGTGATGCATTAATGCATGAGTAAAGCTTGGTTCAAACCAATGAGCGCGCTCTATTGTGCAACTTCATTAATATTCATTACTGTCACAGTGTTTAGACGACAGAGACGCCACGTTGTGTTGGCAAAACAAGCGTGAAGTGTTGCTTTTATAGTTTGCTGCAGTGAAGTTTTGTTTTCATTTTCTCTCTGTGAGAGCTCAGCTGGAGTCACGTGTGGATTAACAGTGTACGCGACGCTCGACAACAATAACTTACGTGTCTAAGGAGGATTATTGTTTACCTGAGAGCTGTTCTCATCTGCAAACGCTGAGATCCGGATTCGCTTGTAGTCTCCTCTTAATAAAGACGCGGCTCTAGTTGCTGGTGATTGTCCTGTCTCTACAGATTTGGTAAGTGAGCGACCAGTGCTCTTTGTTTATTCAGTTTGTTCGTATCGAACTAACTATTGCACCGAGTGTAAACATGTTAGCACCACAACCAAACTTTAACCTCGTGTAGGATTTTCACTGCATTTTGTGACCGGAATAACACACGCGGCTTTCTGACGCTACCTGCTATGTTCATTTAAGTTTCCGGGAAATGCGAAGGGTTTTTTTCTCTCATTCGCCGTGCGGTATCAAACATTGCATGAAAAATACACGCTTACAGCAGTTCCTCGAATCAAATATCTCGTTTGTCGCGAGGGGCATGAATGAATTCCCTGAATGAAAGAGCCAAACTGCAGTTAAAGTCCACCATTTAATAATTTGGCAAATAATTCGACTACAGATGTCCATGTAAACACAGTCACGTGTGTGCATGTGTGTGTGTGAGTGTGTGTTTTGACTCTGAAACTCGCGCGTGCCCAAATAGACACTTCCACACCATCCCTCTTTAGTAAACAGAGCTGGACACGCCCACTTTTCTGACTTTTTCCAAAGTAGAGGTGTGAAAACACCCTGCAGAAACGAGGGGGTTTCATGGCCCTTTAACTCTGCAGGACACCAGTCCTCTAACAATAACCTAACCAAACATGCTTTAATTTTAATTTACACAGTATATGTCATGGTTCTTAGAGCCTAATTTTTTGTTATATATATATACATACATATATAATTTTATATATACAAAAGACATTTGAAGGACAGAATCCTTTACCTGTTGCAATATACACAGCGCTGCTGGTGTTACTGTTGCACTGTTTACCATAGGCCGTGACAGTGAATGCATACTCCTCTCCACACTTTAATGCAGTCATATTACACACATCAGTTGTAGAGTTACAAGCTGTAGCTGTATCTCCAGTGCTGAGGGTGCCTCTAACAAGGTAGTATAGCACATCACTGCTTTGTTGCCAGGTCACTACAGCTGTGTTAGACTGGCACTGGAGATTTGCATTTACATGCATTGGAACACATGGACCTAAAGTGCAAGGATTAAAAATTAGGTACATTTGATGATCCAGTTACCAGTTGAATTTTACAGTTACACTGCAAGTTTAATAAATAAATAAATGGCAACTCACGTGTTTGGAAAGTCACTCCTGTCTCCTCTGTAACCTGACATCCATGATTGATTGCTGTCAGCCTCACTTTATATGTCTGTCCGCAGGCTAGATTACTAACGTTACAGTAATTTTCTTGAGAAATGCAGGTGGAAATGTAGCCATCGTTACTGGTGGCAGTGAGCTCATAGGATTCAGCTCCGCCACTCCATGCCCAGCTGAGCATTGCTGTGTCATGCTCACAGTTCACATCAACAGTGACTGAACTGGAAACTGGTAGACAAGGAGCTAAACACAAAGATAAAACAGCAAATCACAAGCCTGCTCATGACTGCTTTTCTGATCTGATCTGCACTTATAGAGCCCAATCCAACCAGACCAAGATTTAATACACGTGTAGCGACAAGATTTAAAAGGAGAATGCTGATGTGGGCGTTGTAATTATGTGGGTTTTGGGTGCTTTAAATGATCAGCAGGACTCCTGCAAAATGGTTTTATGGGAACAGATCTTTTAGCCATTCCCAGAACACGTCTTAAGACTAAAGGTGACCGTGCCTTCTGTGTTGTGGCCCCAAGGCTCTGAAACTCTCTCCCTCTAGCATTAAGAACTCAGGGATCAGTTGAATATAGTTAAAAAGGTAAATATATTGTTACTGGTATCAAACAGTAACAACAAGGATGCATAATTAAGGCCCATTCACTCGAGACAAAGGGAGTGAGAAGTTGTGGAGGTGTTTTGTCTATTCGACCACTGTGCTTGTGTCTGACATCACCATGACATGGTCACATTAGCATTCGGTCAAATCTAACACAAATGTTGCAGGGGAAAAGGGCAAAACTTCAATTTTGCAGAAGATCTGTCCTGTGCATTGTCTAGTCTGAACGGGCTTTGCCTGTTCTCTGATTGCTTTATCAGTTTAAGACATCTGCCTGGATTTTGATTTTAATTTTTCTTTAATACTTTTCAGTCTTTAATTAGTGTCTCTCTGGGATCAGTTAACTGTCTGACTTGCATTTGAGGTTCAATAACAAATAATGTGTTCAATTAAAGATAGTAGTGGGTTCCAGAAACATACATCTTTGGTTGTTCTAAATGTTGGGAACCACTGGTTTATGCCAAAAAAAATGTATATAGTTCATGTTTTGTGCTTGATAGAAGCCTTACCTGATGTGAGAAGCACGGTCTCGCTGTCTGTGCCATTGTAAGTTCTTCCAAGAGCCCGTACTTGAGTGTTGTAAACAGTACCACAGATCAACCCCTTCACGCTACAGTTGGAACCAGTTGTGTGGCAAGACAAACTTTGACCATTACGACCCTCCAGGAATACCATGTATGCCACTGCCCCCAAACTCACTTCCCAAGACACCGTGCCGACATCACTTGAGCAATTCAGATGGGTTTGGACATTATGAGGTGGGCAAGGTTCTGGTGGAGAACACAGAAGTCAGTTCATGCATGTCAATGCAAAAGTGTTCTTTACACTTGCTACTTCATGCATTTTTTCCTGATTGAGAAGCTATCTGATCACGAAAAAGACAGGTATTAATTCCCTCCGATTGCTCAAACCACTTCAGAAGGGGGTCTGGGACGTATTCCAGACAAAACAGGACAGATACATATAAATGCATCTATTTATTGAAACCACATATGAAAATTTTACTCCTACCAAAAAGAGGGTCAAGTGTATCTGATGCTATAAAATAAAATTGAAATTTGCATAGAGCATGGGATTTGAAGATCGGACTCATATGTTTTGCAATGATGCATTTCAATGGTCAAATGTAAATGGAACCAATCAAAAAAAATAAACAGTCTAGATATAAACAGGCCGAAAGGTACTTTAAAACTGCAGTGTTTAGCTTTGAGTCACTGTGAAAACTGGAAACATAGCGCACCTGTTTCAAGAAAAGTTGATGCAGACACTGCAGCTCCGTGGCAGATGTTGTTGTGTGCGGCTACAGTGATTTCATATGTCTGACTGCAAGACAAGTTATAAAGAGCACAGTAGGTGTCACTGGTGGAACAGGAGAGCACTGATCCCTGATCAGTGGAAGCCTGTGCTGTGAACATGGAAGCGCCTTTGCTTCTGTCCCAGGACAACTGGCCGATAGACAGGCTGTATTGCACTTCAGCATGCTGAGGTACACAAGGACCTGAGATCATAAGAAAGATAGAGAAATTCAGTACATTGGTATAAAATGCATTTGTAGGTTGTTGCCAGGGCATTACTAACTTGTCCAGAAAGTGTTGCTAAGGGCTATAAGATCGTTCCTATATTATTGGTATAATGTGCTGGTTTTTGACACAGTATGTTGTTGGATGCTGTCAGGGGTATAGTTAGTTCCTGTAAACTGAAACTATTTGCTGACCTTACCAGGGCCAGAGCGAGCTGAACTGCCGCTCTATGCAAAGGACGGTCACGCCGCCCACAACCCTAAAGTGAAGGGGGGGTTGATGGGGGTGAGTGAGCTGTAGCGGATGCCGCCCTCTCTATTCTGCCACCCTAGACTTGGATATAACTAAGGGCGCTGGTGGTGAGGGTAGTGTCGCAGACGCCGCCCTAGACGCGGATATAACTGAGAGCACGAGAGGTGAGGGTAGTGTTAGGGACGCCGCCCTCTCTATCCTGTCGCCCTAGATTCGGCTATAACTGAGGGCACGAGAGGTGAGGGTAGTGTCGGGGACGCCACCCTCTCTATTCTGCCGCCCTAGACGTGGATGTAACTGAGGGTGCAGGTGGTGAGGGTAGTGTCGCGGACGCCGCCCTCTCTATTCTGCCGCCCTAGACGCGGATATAAATAAGGACGTGGGTGGTGAGGGTAGTGTCGCGGGCGCCGCCCTAGATGCGGATATAACTGAGGGTGCAAGAGGTGAGGGTAGTGTCGGGGACGCTGCCCTCTCTATTCTGCCACCCTAGACGCGGATATAAATAAGGGCGCGGGTGGTGAGGGTAGTGTCGCATACGCCGCCCTAGACCCTGATATAACTGAGGGCGTGAGAGATGAGGGTAGTGTCGGGGATGCCGCCCTCTCTATTCAGCCGCCCTAGGCGGCTGCCTAGGTCGCCTCTATGGACGCGCCGGCTCTGAACCTTACTAAAGTATTGCTGTGTGTTTCCAGCTAAAACAGAATATTGAAGAGCTGGTGGACTATTTTATACAAATCCTCTAATAATATAATAGTTGTAGAGCATTGGTTAAGGATATTCTGCCCAAGGCATCAATCTGACATTATCAGAGAAGGAATGAAGATTTTTCTTCTGATGAATAGATTGCATAAATTAATTTTACAGTTCAAGAATCACAATATGAGTATAAGTACTGTCAATTCTGATTTCACCTTGGTGAATGGGTCTGGGTCTTGTTTCTGGAGGGCCGGTGCCCAGCAGATTTTAACTTAACCCTAATCAAACACACCTGACCAAGCTAATCAAGGTCTTACTAGGTATACTTGAAACATCCAGGCAGGTGTGTTAAGGCAAGTTGGAGCTAAACCCTGCAGGGACACCGGCCCTCCAGGACTGAGATTGGTGACCCCTGGTTTAAAGCATGCTGCTGATGTAGGGGTGTGTTCTATGTGTTTGCTGCAGTATTGTAAGGTGTTCTTACCTGTCTTCAGGCTTCCGTTCATGCTTGCAACACTGCTGCAGGTCTGTCCTTTTGCTAACACAGTGACGTTGTAGGTCTCTCCACAGGCAAGTCCTGTCAACTCACAGTTGGTATTGTTGCTTTGACAGCTGACATTCTGACCAGACTCTGCTACTGCTGTGGCAGTGTATTGCAGTGCTCCAGTGCCTGGCTGCCATGACAGTATAGCCGAACCAGACTGACAGTCCATTAGTGCCAGAATGTTACGAGGCAAACAAGGAGCTGAAATACAAACAAATGTCATGATACATCCAAAAAACTAAAGTACCAAAAATGTTGAGGTCCAAATTCAGCTTTTGAAATATTCACTGCTAGCATAGCTGGCCACCCATTTCAAATATGGGGAAAACGTCGACCTAATACAACCATTAGGTTGGCCCATATTTTACCCAAATTTGTGTTAAAGAACCCAGAATGTAGTGTCAGTTTTTGGACTTTGTAAGGGTATTCTTAAAAATACCAAATGGTAATGTGTGCCATTCTACATGTATAAAGAGATGGGTTAAATTAAATACATTTCAGTTTGTCATTTTTTGGTTCTTGTCATACTGCTTCATCACATTCGATAAATTTGGTGTATGTCTGTGTAGATCTGTTCGCATTGCTTTCTACCTGAATGTGTGTCAATGACAGCACTAGGCAAACTATCGCAGTATCCGTCAGATGCTATCACACTGATATGGTAGGTCTGACCGCAGGGAAGTCCATTAATTGTACAGGAGGTGTTGTTCATGCTCTGACAGCTAGTAAAGTGGCCGCTGCTGTCCTCAAGCATAGCCGTATATAAATCTGCTCCAATGCTTTTCTTCCAGGACACCAACAGGCTGTTCGATTGGCATATCACATTAGCAGTCACAAAATCCGGCACACAAGGTACTAGACATAAAGAAAGTGAATCAAATCAAGATCAAGCGATTAGGAAAAGTTTAATGCTACATCCCAATTTGCATATGTATACTACGGTCCAGCAGCAGCAGGTTAATCTGTTCAATCAACGCAATCTCACGGCAATTCGTAACTTTTTGATTTAGTGGCTAATTCGTATGAATTCATACAGTCTAATTTGTACAATTTAGTACGATTTGTTCATCACCCAATGGCGGTTGGGGTTAGGGGTGGGGTTAGGTGCCACACCTCCATTTTAAAATCGACTGAACTCATACGAATTAGCCACTAAACTAACAAAACATAACATAATTTTGTTTCCTTGTGAGATCAGACTGGTTCAAGTCTGTGTAATCTGTATGTAATCGCCAATTTCGAATACTATTTAGGATGGATAGTATGCGAATTGGGACGCACCGTAAGAGTTTATTGTATGTAATAATATCCTGTTTCTTCACGGCAGCTTCTATGAAGCACATGGCAATGTAATTACACTTACCTGTCCTGATAGGAGCAGCTTGGCTGGGAGCGCTGCTGCAGATGCTGTCTTCTGCTATTACTGTGGCTGTGTACGGCACGCCGCACACTAGATTCGTGAGATCGCATGATTGACCAAACGCTGAGCAGCTGTCCATCAGTGCTCCATCAGTGCTGATGGCCTGGACTGTGTAGAGCTCACCGGCTTCATTGCTCACCCATGACATGGTGGCTACATTATCAGTGCAGCTTGTATTGGAATTCAGACTCTCAGGGATACAGGGTACTGTGGGCAGAAAGGCAATATAATGAAAAAAAGAGCCTCCCCAGGCAGATATACAAGAGAGATAAGATGTCTATTAGGGGTCTAACGGGACATGTAGTCATCCTGAACTGTCACAGACATTATGGTTTCATTCACTACAAAATTAACACAATCAGTGCAGCAGGAATACAGCAAAAAAAAACACAGCACAGCAGTGCGACAACTTAGGGGGCATTCACACCGAATGCATAGAATGCTAAATAAATCATGCCAACTTGCTACTGTTAACAGAATCTCACAATGCAGGATCTGATTGGTCCACTGATTTGGAATGTCTTTAATAAGCTGCATTCATGTGTGAGGCACAGCAAACACATGAGTGTATAATGTCATGCACATCCATCAACCACTTTAAACAGAATTTGATGCTTATTCTTGTTGTACCAAGCTAATATTGACCATAAAACCGAGGTATGTGCAGAGCCGTGACTTCTTTGTACCATTACTCCCTCAAGGCTGATTTATACTTCTGCTTCCAGTGATTGGTGCGACCCATGGCACCTGCCTTGTGCATAGTCATGAATTAATATCTGCGTGCTGTTTGTGTTGCTCAGCAATAACACTTCTGAAACGCTAGCTGGCAGAAGGTTTTGATGTTCCTCTGTGTCGTGTTTCTTTGAGAGTGTTTTGTTTGTTCAATGCATTTCAGCTTTATTTGTATAGCGCTTTTACAATGTAGATTGTGTCAAAGCAGCTTCACATAAATGGTCATAGTAACTGGAACAGTGTAGTTCAGTTTTTAGTGTTTAAGTTCAGTTCAGTTTAGCTCAGTTCAGTGTGGTTTAAAATCATTACTGAGAGTTCAAACACAGAAGAGCAAATTCATCGATGCGTAGCTCTACCAATCCTGAACCATGCGAGCCAGTGGCGACAGCGGAGTGGGAAAAAAATCTTCACCTAATAGGAGAGTGAAGAAAAAAAACCTTGAGAGAACCAGACTCAGTTGGGCACGACCATTTTAATTTCTCCGCTGGCCAAAAGTCTTGTGCAGAGCTTCAGTCACCGCGGTGGAGGCTGGAAGGTAGTGTTCTGAACACTACCTTAATATACAAGTTTCTCAAACTCATTTAGAGGCAGAAACCGTTGGATATGCAACAACATTAATCATAAGGTCAACACAAAATGACAGTTTCCATCTAGAGCAGAGGTCACCAATCTCGTTCCTGGAGGTCCCGTGCCCTGCAGGGTTTAGCTCCGACTTGCTCTAACACACCTGCCTGGGTGTTTCAAGTGTACCTAGTAAGACCTTGATTAGCTTGTTCAGGTGTGTTTGATTAGGACACCGGACCTCCGGGAACAAGTTTGGTGATCCCTGATATAGAGCTACTTCATGGGGCTCAAAACTTCCCTACTGAAAAAAAACAGCTTAAGCCAGCCTAGGCTGGTTGGCGGGTTTTAGCTGGTTGACCAGGCTGGTTTTAGAGGGGTTTTGGCCATTTCCAGGCTGGTTTCAAGCCATTTCCAGCCTGGTTTTAACTGGTCAGGCTGGGAGATGACCAGCTAAAACCAGCTTGACCAGCCTAACCAGGCTGGGAGCCCAGCCAAAACCAGCTACGTCCAGCTTAAACCAGGCTGGTTACACTGGTTTTAGCTGGATTTAGCTGGCCAGCTAAGACCAGGCTGTAAATGGCTGGAAACCAGCCTGGAAATGGCCAAAACCCCTCTAAAACCAGCCTGGTCGACCAGCTAAAACCAGCCAACCAGCCTAGGCTGGTTTAAGCTGGATTTTTCAGCAGGGTTGTAAACACTTGCTCCATAGGCTTCACGCGGCTCTTGGTCCCACCCACACTGGTCACAGCTACCAAGCCAACCAATCACAGAGCTTGCTGCATATGTCGCTGTGACATGTAGTTACACTTTTTGAGAGGTGCGCGTCAGCGTTAGCATCAGTTATGGTGAGAACAATGCGACCGCAGGAAGGCTGAGCCAGAGCGCATGCACTACACGCAGAAGTACGAATCAGCTTTTAGTATTTTTGGGCATTTAAATTCTGTAAACCATTACCAAAATTTGGGAGATTACCACTGTAACGGGGAATTTAATTACTTTAAATAATCAGATGTAAATGTTACCTGAACGTACGATGACCTCGGTGCTCTGAGAGCTGTTGCATTTTTGTCCCTCAGCAGTGACTGTCAGGACATACATCTGTCCGCAAGGAATTGAAGTGACCTCACAGGAAGTGGAGTTTGCAGTGCAGCAGATGGTCTGTCCGTCTGTACGCTCTAAGGTAGCAGTGTAGCTTAATGCGCTAACGCTCTCATCCCAAAACACAGTCACTGAACCAGTGTCACAACCCACTGAGGTGATCACATTTTGAGGTGGACAAGGGGCTGAAAGAGACGACAGAGACAGAACATTTGAAATTATGTTGTCCTGGACGATGTCCTTCAAAACTGCACTCTCTTACCTGTTTGGGACTCCAAAGTGTTGATGATGAGACTATCACACTGAATGTTAGAAGCAGTGACACTGAAGTTGTAGAATCTTCCACATTCTAGCTCTTCCACTGTGCACTGGTTCTCAGTTGAGTTACACTGGTACAACTGTCCATCACTGTCCATTGCCGTGGCAATGTAGAGCTCCGCCCCAGTTGACTCTTCCCACGTCAGCCAAGCCGAATCAGACAAGCAGTCCATCTCAACATCCAACATAAGCGGAGCACAAGGAGCTTTACACACAAACACACATCGCTAAAGTTAATTTTGATAAGACAAGCAGGATCAATATCAAGTGGTGGAATACCTAATATTAGGTATTACAACTACATTCAATAAGACTAACCTGCAATAACATGGTGAACTGGTGAATTTGCCCCAATGCAGCCATCTCTTAATGGTACTACTGTCAGATTATAATTCATGCCACATCTCAGACTGATATTGCAGCTGGTCTCTGTGGTGTTACACATGTAGTAATCGTGGTTGTTATTGGAGTAAAAGGCCTTCGCAATGTAGAGGACACCATCAACACTAGAGTCCCAGGACACAAATAAGGTGTTTAAGTCACAGTCCAAGTATGGGAAGACCATACGTGGTGGGCAGGCGGCTGAAGGATGTAGAAAAGAGCGTAAGAGACCTCCAAAAATTGAATTCAATGCCATATGTAAGTATTATACAGCATATGTGTACCTGAAGTGACATGTTGCACAGAGCTTTGTGAACTGTTGCAGGTTTGACTATAAGCGACCACTGTCACGCTGTAAGTCAAGCCGCAGCGGATGTGGGGAACTTGGCATTGAGTCACATTAGAATCACACCCCAATACTTTACCATCACTGCTCTTCACTGTGGCATGGTAATAATTGGCTTGACCTTGCTGCTGCCAGGTAATGTTGAGAACAGAGGACTGGCACTTCAGGATAGTCTGCACATTCTGTGGCACACAAGGGGCTGAAGGAAGCACAGAGTTCAAAGGTCACTATACCTATCTTAAAAGTCTAGACCAGTGGTCACCAAACTTGTTCCTGGAGGGCCGGCGTATTGCAGATTTTACCTCCAACCCTAATCAAACACACCTGAACAAGCTAATCAAGGTCTTACTAGGTATACTTAAAACATCCAGGCAGGTGTGTTGAGGCAAGTTGGAGCTAAACCCTGTCGGTACACCGGCACTCCAGGACCTAGATTGGTGACCCCTGATCTAGACCCACCAAACTCCCACTAAAGAGCTAGTGACTATGAAAGGCAACAGTAGTGTTACTTTGTGTTAATGGCATGTGGGTGAAAAACACTGCAAATATTTCAGCCAAGGGCAAACTTTCATGTATAAAATCAAGAAACAAATTAAAAAATGCTTCAGGAGTCAATATGCCAGTGCTCTTTGGACCACTAGTTCATAAAGATATTTAAAAAAATCAGCAGTTCAAGGCGCTCCAAAAGTAAGTGAAAAAGATGCTTGACGAAGTTACCTTAAAACACACTAAACTTGGCAACTCTCAGCATGGTGTATCACTTCCTTTATTATAGACATGTCAGACAACTGACTACATTGAAAGCTTTATAGTAAGTCTTCCCTGTGCAAAATATTTAGCCTCAATCCTAAGCTGCGTCCTAAATCGCATACTTATACACTATTCTTCGCCATTTTATAGTATAAATAGTGTGAGTAGTGCGTTCACGCTGAAAACTCTAACAATAATAAGTGCACTTTAATTCCCCGGATGATGCACTCATTCAGCCGCTAAAATGAAGTGTGTAATGATGGACACTTCACACACTCAACGACCGCAGGTTTGCTTACGTAGCGGAAGGGGCGGAGCTATCGGATGCACATGTTGAATAACTTTATTTTGGATGGTGAAAGCAAAATTCTCTTACGAGAGTGATTATAGCGCCTCCCGATGGTGAATGCGGTTACACTCACGGCAGGTATTATTTGATAATTAGGTCGTTTATTTTACTGATTTGGCAACCGTCAAACGTCATCAGGGAAACGGTTTGAGTTTCCGCTTAATAAAAAAAACATTAGTGTGCCATTTGGGACGCCACTACATACATATACTATCCTGTTAAGTGTGTAAGTGCATAGTGCATGAGTGCATAGTGTGCCATTTGGGATGCAGCTCTAGAGTGTTTGCAGCTGCAGTAGCATTCTGGGAGGATTTGCAGCATTATTCAGACTCAGAAAGAACTTGTTACCTGTTTCAAGAACGTGAACTTCACTCTTGGGACCAGTACAGTTGCCATCCACACCAGATACATAAATCTGATAAGTCTGTCCGCACTGCAGGCCAGTGATATTGCAGGTCAGCTGGGCAGTGTCACAAGTCACCTTATGACCTCCATTGTCCTCAGCGACAGCCATGTATGTCAAGGCGCCCTGGGAGGATTGCCAGGAAACGGACACAGTGTTTGAGGTACAAGACGATTGGATGGATACCTGAGCCGGTGGACATGGTGCTGGAGAAGCAAAAGAAAATCAGCTCACATGTCGACATACTACCTTATCTTTTGTTGTTGTTGTTGTTGTTGAATAGCATAAAAGTAGTGGCTTGAACTCGTTACCTGTTTTAAGGGCAATCCATTCATCTGATTGGGATGGACAAGTGAGCCCTTCACCCTCCACAAGAACTTGGTAACGGTTGCCACAGTGCAAGTTGGTGACATTGCAGGAGGAGCCAGATGTACTGCAGCTGACTTTATGATTTACATCAAACCCTTCTGCAGAAGCACTATAATTCAGAATACCATTACCGGGCATCCATGAGATCAGAGCCGAGTCTGTGCTACAGTCCAGAGTTGCTTGTAGATTAGACTGTGGGCATGGAACTGGTAAAGAAGGATGCAAACAGGTAGTAGTTTTGTTAATACACCACTATAGTTGCAGAAATGGTAAATTTCCGATTCTGATTGGGTGGAAGGTGTGCAATAAAATCAAAAGCAAGTTCCAGTCAGATTTGATCACAGTTTATAAATGTGCTTCCCTTAAACAAACGTTCAAACATGCTCCAAAATATTGAGGTAGCTAATACATGTTACTATGAGCTATTAGATATGACTGTGTCATTTGCATGCACTCACATAAGATTAGACCAGGGGTCACCAATCTCGGTCTTGGAGGGCCGGTGTCCTTGCAGGGTTTAGCTCCAACTTGCCTCAACACACCTGCATTGATGTTTCAAGTATACCATGGAAGACCTTGATTAGCTTGTTCAGGTGTGTTTGTTTAGGGTTGGAGCTAAAATCTGCAGGACACCGGCCCTCCAGGAGCAAGTTTGGTGACCCCTGGATTAGACTGTGGGCAAGGAACTGGTAAAGGGGGATACAAACAGATAGTGGTTTTGTTAAACTTTAAATTTGCTCAACAATATTTGCAAAGAGGTAGCTAATACAGGTTACTATGAGCTCTTAGATAAGCTATTGACACGCACTCACACGATCTCTCTCTGATTCCAGCTCTCCTGACAATAGGTAGATTATTCATTACACTTTATATTATACAATGTTTATTGTGGAGTGGTTTAAATGTGCTCTTGCTTGTGTTTATAGTCTTGGACTTTATACTGACCCCTATTGGCCTGGATGTGTGCATTTTGTTTAATTGACACAGCAAATTAGCTATATTGTGTACATGAAAAAACTGTGATCAGTACCTGTCGTAACATTGATAGGTGCGCTGGTCAAGCTCGTGCAATTGTTGTCTTCGGCGGTGACTGTTATGGTGTAATTCTGTCCGCATTCCAGGTCTGCGAAAGAGCAGGTCGTATCTGTGTTGGAGCATGTGCTGTGTTTCCCCAATGTGCTGTTGCCCTGAACAATGTATTTGCTGGCACCACGAGCAGAATCCCAGGTTACAGTGGTGATGGATGTGTCACAGTTTGTTGTCGCCACAACATAGGTGGGCACACAGGGGGCTGCGAGACACAGAACAAAAGATGATTGTTTGAAGAAAAACCCAATAATCTATGCGATATTTTTATAAATATTCCTGTGTACATCTGAACTATGTTAATTGCAATAAATTCAATAATTGCAATAATTCCTAAACCGATTCTATGTTGGTGATTACTACAGGAAGCATTTTAAATTAACTTTAACTGATGCAACAGTCTAAATAAAACTGTAAAATAACTTTACTTTTTTTTAAAATATTCTGTCTTAGATTTGGTTCATGATTGTATTTCTGAAGGCTGAAAAGAAGCATATTTAGTGTTGCATATGTATCCCTGCTGGTCCTACACCAACCAACCCGCTCCAAGCTGGGATTGAACCAGCAACTTTCTGCAATGGTGTCGGTTGCTCTAACAAGGAGGCTAAAGACCATGGCCTCTTGTGTCTATTGCTAGAGCACCTTTTAGAGATCAGAGGATTGAGGTTTACCTGCACAGCAATTCACTAGCTGGCCTCTCTGATCTCACGGATTAAATTAGTTTAATACACGTAAACAGTCAAAATAGTAACTTGGAGTGCTGGGGTCCGTTCTTCGTACGTGGATTACTCAGTTAGCTGGATTTGGTTATTGACGATTTGACATGATCCAGGATCGTTTCGTTCTTCAAAGCTGATCCGAGAGTTGTTGTCATGGCAACAGTTCTGCTAGGTCAAACCTGATCGGGAGCAGGTTCAATTCATATAAACAGGATTGGATCGGGTCAGTTCGTGCAAAGATTATACAGAAAGTATGTTCCGAATTCTGATATTTTCTTACAGTAGTAGTTATACCCTAGTAGCAAAGAATTCTGACCCAGATTTGGCAAAAAGCTGGCACAGCAGGCATTCATCCGGCACTGGCATACAGCATGTGGGCCAAACATGGCCGTGGTTTGGCAGAGGTGGCACCGTTTTTAAGGCGGCACACAAGATTTGGGCCAGATGAAAAACGTAGTATTTGGCCCAGATTTAAAAATTTTATAAGTGGGCCACAGTGAGTTTGGCCAGTCTTGACCCACATTTAAAATACACTAAAATCATTTTTGAGTAAAGAAAAAAAAATTCCACCAATCGGGTCACTTTGAGAAAAAGCGTGCCCATAGTGTGCCTAAAGCGCATCACTCCATGGGTTTATCAATTTCATTGCAATCGTGACACACCAACCTATCTGGCCCAGTTCAGGCCCAGTTATGAGTTATTAACTTGGCTGAGACTTGGCCCAGATATGGTCCGTGTTTGGCCCTTGTCTGGAAGCCAGATTTGGTCCAGTCATGTACCGTAATTCACTGCGGCATGTGGGCCAAGCAAAACCTGATTGTGTGGGCCAGAGCTGGGCCAGAGAAATTTTGCTATGTGGGTATACACTTGGGAAAATAGTACATATTTTTAAACTATATATATAAAGTTATAGTTATTAATAAAATAAATTAAGTTATACATATTAATAAAACGTATGCAATCTGCACCCTCGAAATGAAAGTACAAAGACTGCCACCTGGTGGTGCAAAGAGAAAACTTATTGATATGAACTTTTTAGATCGCTTTAGTACAATAATGTGTATAATACAAATGCACAATATGTAACTTTTTTAAAAGCAATAATACATTTATGCAGTCATAAACATGTTTTGATAGTTAATATGCCAGTGATTTGATGCTTCGCAAAAGTTGCAGACGCCTTTACCAATATCAAAATGCTTTTGTAAACAACCAGTTATTCTTTACACCGATTAAAAAAACGGCAACTATAATAAAGAAAATATTTTCTAAATGTAGAACTAAATACACTGATATGCATTGAAATACATGATAAATGCTCTTGACACATAAAAGTGTAAAGCCTGCAGCTCACAAATGTGGAAGGTTATTGCGTGTCATATTTAACAAGCCGTTTACTGCTAATTTGATGTAATTTTGCTCACATGGATAATTGAATATTAATCAGATGATGTCATTACGCTGCTGTGCCGTCAGCCAATCGTTGCATTGCTGATCATGATTTTGAGGATCGATAGATCTGTCCTTCACAACACACGCAGCGATCTCAGATCAGTTCATCCAGACATTCTAATCTGATTGGTGAACTTGTTTGAAGAACCAAATTAGCGAGAGATCAGTTATCAAGATTAAAAGATCCAGGATCTGCCAAATCATCTTAGATCATTTAAGCGAGGTACGAAGAACGGACCCCTGGTGATTATTACCATGATAATGATTGCTAAGCCCACACAGAATTGGTGCTTGCAGATGTATATAGAAAGTCTACAGGTTGTTGACCCTGTCCTTCTCTCCTATGCGTTTTTTTTTTTCAGTTGGCTACAGAACAAGCTACTGCTGTCCAATGACTAGCCTAATTGACCTAACTTGCCTAGTTAACCTAATGAAGCTAGTTAATCCTTTAAATTGCACTTCAAGCTAAATACTAGCTTTCTGCAAAATAACTAGTAAAATAGTATGCACTGTCATCATGGTAAAGACAAAAGAAATCAATTATTAGAAGTTATTTAGTAAAACTGTTATGTGTAAAAGGTGTTTTGTTCTCTCTATTAAACAGCACTTCTATTCAAATTAAAAGTTTACAGGAGGGCTCATGCTTTAGCCTTTTACTGTATATATTGAATGCTAAAGTATCCCTAACCTGTGTGCAACTACGTCTCACCTGTGTTGAGGCTGAAGGTCTCGCTGGGCAAACTGGTGCAATTTCCGTTGAATCCAACCACGCTGAGTGTGTACGACTCTCCACAGCTCAGCTGTGTGAATGTGCAGGACCTGTTTGTGCTGTTACACATCGTCATACCGCCCGTAAAGTTGAGTGCAGTCACCATGTCAAACTGATCTGCTTGATTATTGTCCCATGTTACTGTAGCAATGTTAGTGCTGCACTGCAGGTGAACAGATGGACTGTGCGGTTGGCAGGGGGCTGATGGGATAGAAATGATTGATTATGGCTTTTACCGCAATACAGTTTTTGGATTGGTTTACAATTGTTGGGATCAATAGCCAGGTTACCTGTCTGGATGTGGTAGTCTGAACCATCAACTACACAGCTAGTTTTGGATGTTGTTACAGCAATGCTGTATGTGCGGCCACATCTTAAGTTCGTAATGGTACAGGAAGTTGAACTCGTATTACAGGAAACCCGAGTGCCATCTGCACCAATAGCCAGGGCTGTGTAGGAGTCGGGGTTGCTTGCACTGCGATCCCAATGTACAGCTAGTGTGTTGTTGCAGTCTAGCTGTGCCACCACATTACTTGGCAGGCATTGGGCTGTAACACACATAGACGTAGAAGAGAACATCTGTTTACTAAGTATGAAACCCTGCTGAACCAGCCTAGGCTGGTTGACTGGTTTTAGCTGGTTGACCAGCCTGGTTTTAGAGGGGTTTTGGCCATTTCCAGGCTGGTTTCCAGCCATTTCCAGCCTGGTCTTAGCTGGTCAGGCTGGAAAATGACCAGCTAAATCCAGCTAAAACCAGCTTGACCAGCCTGGTTTAAGCTGGAAATAGCTGGTTTTGGCTGGACTCCCAGCCTAGGCTGGTCAACCTGGCTTTAGCTGGTCATCTCCCAGCCTGACCAGCTAAAACCAGCCTGGTCGACCAGCTAAAACCAGCCAACCAGCCTAAGCTGGTTTAAGCTAGATTTTTCTGTATGAAAGAAATCCCATATCAGTAGAGTGGATATGTGCTCTCAATTACCTGATTCAAAATGAATGCTGTTGTTAAAAGTGCTGTTGCAGAAGCCAACAGTGGAAACCACTGTAGCTGTATAGGTATTTCCACAGTCCACCTTCACAGAACAGGATGTGGTGTTGGAAGTACAGGAGACAGTTTGTCCATTGTTTCCAACCACATTGGCAGTGTAGGAGTATGCCCCTAATCCAGGCTGCCAGCTGATGGCAGCCATGTTTGTGCCACAGCTAGGAGCAGCTGTCAAGTTACTAGCTGAACAGGGAGCTGTGGATCAATAGAAGAAACTCAGGTCAATACCCCTTTTTACCAACCATTGTATTGTGACAGCATTTAGTATACTCATATTCTCCACAGGAATTCAGATAAACGTTCATTATTGTTCATTAGGATTAGTTCACCCCAATATAAACATCCTGTTTTTAATTATTCAGCCTTGCATTGTCCTAATCCCCCGAGGCCTTCCTTCATCCTCAACCAACAAATTAAGACATTTAGATGAAATTCTTGAGCTCCCTCAATCTCCAAATATGTCCAGAAAAGGAACCAAAAACATTGTCAAAACAGTTGAACATGTGACTTTAGTGGTTCAACTATAATCACACGAAGCTTCCAGAACACATTTGTGTGCCAAAGAAAGTGTAAAAACTACTTTGTGCAATGTCCTCTCTTTAGCCACATCAGATCATGGTGTATGATTAGTATGGGAAATACATAACTTATGACACATATAACACATGCTGGGGGAGGTGTGTCGTGGACGAAAGTGAAGAGCGGGGGTGGGTGGTTGTGGGTGTCACGGACGAAAGTGTAGAGAGGGGGCGGTGGGATGGTGGGGTGTCACGGACAGAGGGTTGGGGAGTTGTGGTCGAAGAGGGTTGGGAGTTAGGAGGGAGATTGGTAAAATGAGCTTCCGGGTCAGATTTCAGAGGTGATCCGGATCCGGCTTGTTCTGACACAAATTAAGCCCGGCATATACTACCATGGCTAGAAATTAAGTATACATGTACAGTACACCTGTATGAATCCCATTGTTTTCATGCTTTGTTCTTGGTGGTTCACTGGTAGTGAACTGCTTATTAATGTTATACTGGTGGTGTAACTGGTGGTTGTCCTCAATGCTGCTGATAAACTGGTTCACAAGCATGGTCTTGCAGAGTCAAAGCATCACTTATTGTAATATTCGAAGCCAGCAGTGGCCTATTGGTCAGAGAGTTGTATTTGTGATTGAAAGGTTGCAAGTCCCGGCACTGGCAGGGATTGTAGGTCTTGAAAGTGAATAACTGGTATTCTCACCACAATCAATACCATGGCAAACCCTGCTGAAAAACCCAGCTTAAACCAGCCTAGGCTGGTTAGCTGGTTTTAGCTGGTTGACCAGGCTGGTTTTAGAGGGGTTTTGGCCATTTCCAGCCTGGTTTCCAGCCATTTCCAGCCTGGTCTTAGCTGGTCAGGCTGGAAAATGACCAGCCTAATCCAGCTAAAACCAGCTTGACTAGCCTGGTTTAAGCTGGATATAGCTGGTTTTGGCTGGACTTCCAGCTTGGCTAGGCTGGTCAAGCTGGTTTTAGCTGGTCATCTTCCAGCCTGACCAGGTAAGACCAGGCTGGAAATGGCTGGAAACCAGCCTGGAAGTGGCCAAAACCCCTCTAAAACCAGCTTGGTTGACCAGCTAAAACCAGCTAACCAGCCTAGGCTGGTATAAGCTGGATTTTTCAGCAGGGTTTGCCATGGTATTGATTGTGGTGAGAATACCAGTTATTCACTTCCAAGACCTACAATCCCTGCCAGTGCCGGGACTTGCAACCTTTCAATTTTAGGGTTGCAATATAAAGATAACTGAACAAGTTTGGTGGTTTGTACCTGTGTAGATCTGTATTGGACTTCCGTAGGGACTGGTGCAGGCGCTGTCCTGAGCAGCCGCTTGTACAATGAAGCTCATCCCACAGTGTAACCCTGTTAAATTGTGTGATGTTGTCACTTTGCTGACGGTGGAATTCAGCCCGTTGATCTGACTGATGAATAGGAAGTAGGTGACTCCCAACTGAGGGCTCGGGTCCCACGTGATGCTGATGTCATTAGTAGCGCAGCTGGTGTGACTGGCCAGATTCGAAGGTGGGCAGATAGCTAGAAGAATGGGGAATTCAGCCCAAACCGAAAGGTAGTCAGTAACGCAATATGATAAGAGAAATCCTATACTACTACTTGTCCTGTTTGCTGACCTGATTGTAGACTGACTGGTGTGCTGGGTTGACTCTTGCAACCACGGTCCACCGTAACAACAGTAACGGTGTAGTTATCACCACACTGCAGTTGGCTGAAGGTGCAGTTGGTGCTATTGGATGTGCAAGTGTAGCTAGAGCCATTTCTACCGGTTGCTGTGGCAATGTACATTTCAGCATTCTTGGCGGCAGTCCAGCGGACAAATCCGACATTACCATTGCATTGTAGAGAAACTTGCACATCACTGGGAGCACAAGAACCTAAAGGTGTGTGGAGGGAATAATATGAATTTTGTAACACTAAAATTAGGTGAAAACAGTTAACTAGTACCTAAAATGACGCAGCACTCAATATCACTGAAAGCATTACACAATACAACACACAGATTAAATAAAACTGCTAGTACCTACCTGCACTGAAAGTGTATGTAGCTGATGGGAATCCCGAACACGTCCTAGAGAAGGGTGTAATCACAATGTCGTAGATCTGACTGCAGTGCATGCTGGGTAGTTGACAGCTGGTTCCATTGACAATACTGAACTTGAAATCCCCATCGTGGCCCAACGCCGTGACATTATAACCCACAGCCCCAGGACTTCCATTCCAGGACACGAAGGCAGTGTTATTCGTACACTGTAGTGCTACAGTCACATTCTGTGGGGCACAAGGAGCTGAGGGCACATAATATCTAATTATAATATACATACAGACATAATAGTCATAATATCTTCTCCAGAGATTTACTACAGAGTAAACTATTAGTATTCGTAGCTATAGATTAATATCTATATCTCTATTAGTTCTCTATGGACTATTTAATGGAGGTAGTGGAAAAGAGAGTGGGAAATGTTTATTATTACTGTTTTTGGTTTAAGATGTCATATCTACTTAAATATTAATCATGATAAACAAATAAGACATAGAATTGGTGACTTGGCACTCATGAAGTGCATTGCAGGTCAAGTTCGAGATCTGAAAAAGCGTACACGTCAGCCTCTGGTGGATTTGCGAAAACAAAAAAAAAAACGTATCTCCTGGGATATATTTGGCGCTCTCCAGAAATGTATACAGGGGTACATAATCAGAGCAAGCCTGGGTTGGTTTATAAGAGGTAAATCCTCATAGGATGCTTGTACAGTGTGTGTATGCGTGTTCACCTGTCTGTAGCTGCGTGCGTGCTGCATAGCTGCTGTTGCAGTGACTAGAAATGGACTGCACAAAGACATTATAAAGGCTCCCGCACATCAGCGTGTTGATGGCACAGTGGGTTTGGTTTGTAACGCAGGAGGCCGAGTGTCCGCTTGTCTCCACATATGCATAGAAACTCTCTCGGCCCAGACTGTCAGTCCAGCTGAGCTCAGTGCTGGTCCCGCAGCTGTAGTTAGAGCTCACTGCTGCAGGGGTGCATGGGGCTGGAAAACAGCAACAGAGGAAAGTTTTATTTCGAGACTATGAAGTATGTATAGCCTTTATTTCCATAGTAAATATGTGTTCTTAAAGATCCCGTTAATTAAAATAAAGTTTTTAGATGTTAGTAGTAGTATTGCTAGTTTTTAGGATCTCTATAAGCTAGTACGCCAAAACAGTGAAGATGCTTTAGAAGATATGAAACAGATATAAACTTATAACTTCTTAGAATTTCTTATTAAATTATGACCAATCAAATGCTAGTATCTGACATGCCCCGCCCCCATCAGGAGGCTTCACAAGAGTTCAACCACTCCCACAGACAGAGCGGTGATAAAACGAAACGCTATTGGCTGCTTTTATAAAAGGGGCAGGGCTATGCCTATGCCTTCATGTTTTGTTGAGATCACGTCACACATTGAATAAAAATGCACATCACTAGATGCTGAACTTTGAATGTGTGGTGGACGTACCTGTGATAACACTGAATGGAGCACTGGGTGAACTCCAGCACTGCGGGCCCTGGGCTACACCGTACACACTGTAGGTCTGACCACACTGCAAAGAGTCCAGGGAACAGCTGATGCCAGAGGAGTTGCAGGAGGCCGTGGGTCCCAGGACAGACGTGGCATTGGCCTTTACCCACAATGCATCTGGGTCCTTCACCCAGGAAACCAGGGCCACATTAGTGCTGCAGTTCAGTGAAGGAGACCTCATTGTTGGAGGACACGGTGCTGGGACATCACACAGACAAGTTAAGGAAGATTATGCTAAAGCTCAATCAATCCAGACTGAAGTAATACGAACTTAACCAGGGCAAACTCGACCCGGGAGGACCGGTGTCCTGCAGAGTTTTGTTTCAACATTAATCGAACACACCTGAACATGCTAAACACTTTAGTCTATGTGGTTCACATATGTGTTAAGATAGCTGGGCCACATTTGCTATATCTTCTCTGGGCCACATTAGGCTCACAGCCACATTAGCCAGAGCTTACTGTGGCGAACATTTCCCAAAAGTGGCCCACAATTGTTTTAGGATAACTGGGCCACATTTGCCATATCTTCTCTGGGCCACATTAGGCTCACAGCCACATTAGCCAGAGCTTACCTTGGTGAACATTTCCCAAAAGTGGCCCACAATTGTTTTAGGATAACTGGGCCACATTTGCTATATCTTCTCTGGGCCACATTAGGCTCAAATCCACATTAGCCAGAGCTTACTGTGGCGAACATTCCCCAAAAGTGGCCCACGTATGTTTCAAGATAACTGGTCCACGATTTCCAATTCTTCTCTGAGCCACGTTAGGTTCTCAGCCGCAATAGCTAGAGCTTACTGTGCCGAATATTTGCCAAAAATGGACCACGTATGTTTCAAGATAACTGGGCCACGTTTTCCATATCTTTTCTGGGCCACATTAGGCTCACAGCCGCAATAGCCAGAGCTTACTGTGCCGAATATTTGCCAAAAGTGGCCCACATATGTCTTTAGGTTTAGACCCAGATTACTCTTAAATGACTATGCCACTATTTTGCCAACTGTGGCCCACATTTGTCCTCTGTCATTTGGGCCAAATTGATAATTTTCCACATGGGCCACATTGGGCTCACATTCAGATTACATTTTGCCATAAGTGCCTAATATTTGCTTTAAATGACCCATATGTGAATTTGAATCTTTGGCCCCCCTTTGCCATTGTTCAGGTGGGCCACTTCAGGCTTACATTCATATAGTCTGGGCCATGAAAGAACACCAGTGCCGCACAACTGCCTAAAGTGGCCCACATTTATATGCTATCTGGGTCTAAGATGCTAGTAAGTTATTATATCCGAAAAGAGGCCTTCGTCTAATGCAGCAACTTCCATTTTCTTTTGATATTTGTAATGATATTGTTCTCTTGGACTTATTGGCTTTATCTGCAAATGTTTTATGTAATATTCCAGTTTTGGATGGACATATGTCTTCAAGTTCACTAGAAAGTTATAGGCTGTTGTGTTTAATTAGGATCAGATCTAAACTCTGCAGGACACCGACCCTCCAGGACAGAGTTCGCCATCCCTGTGCTGAAATCTTCATACCTGTTTCCAGTGTAGTGCTGGCCCATGCTGAGCTGTTACAGGTTCCATCATTAGCAAGCACGGTGACATTAAAAACCTCCCCGCAGTGGAGCGGCGTGAGGTCACAGGAAGTGTTGGAGGTTTGGCAGGAAACTGAAGAAATGCTCTGATTCTGTGTGTTTGCCAGGGCTGTGTACACACTGGCACCAGCAGAAGCATGCCACGACACATGTACCGCCTGTGAGTCACACTTCAGCACTGCGGTCACGTTCTCAGGATCACAGGGAGCTTGAAAATCAAAATATTACTGTAAGAGGTACATTCGGGACAGGTGTAGACATTAATAAAACACAACACCCAGCAAACAATGACCTAGCGGACCACCTGCATTTTTGGGCAGAACAACTTAAGAGATTAATACAATCAGATCACCGTCGGCTTATTAGTAAAACACAGATACTGTAAGGGGTAGGTGTAAGGTTGGGGTAGGTTTAAACATTAATAAAACACAAGAACAACAAACATGAACTAAATATCTCATCATATATTCAATGTTATGTTTACTGTATTAATAAAAATAAATATCAATAAAAAATTGAATGATGTATTTGTGGCATTTTATGTATTGTTAATAAACATTGCACATTGTTCTTTTGCCCCATATGGTGATGTAGACGTCTCCAAAACCCCACAGGTGGACAAATCTAAACTTGATTATATTTAAACGAATATAAATATGCAGATAATAAAAATAAATATCAATAAAAAATTGAATGATGTATTTGTGGCATTTTATGTATTGTTAATAAACATTGCACATTTAAATAAATCATGTCGATATTCCTTATTTTTAAATATTTTTTTCGTTTTTTTTGGGGGTCGGCATTTGTTCAAATAATTATTTTATTTTTGTTAAGATTTTTGCACAAGAGTATGGGCTCTATTTTAACAAGGTATGCGCAAAGTCTAAAGTGCATAGCACAAAAGCATTAAGGGCATGTCCGAATCCACTTTTGCTCTTTAAAGGATGGAAGAATACGCTGTGGGCCTTGGCACATGGTCTAACAGGGTTTTGCTTATTCTCTTAATGAGTTATGGTTGTGTTTTAAGAATAACATGCATTAAACCAATCAGAGTCTCATCTCTCATTCCTTTTAAGAGTCAGTTGTCGCACCATGGCACATTTGCTATTTACATGGCAGAGTTTGTTAGAGGAAAAACTGAACGCTTCACAACCGAGAAAATAGTTAAACAAACCAACTGCAGCATGAGGATAAAGAATGAGCCTCCTCCATTCAGCCTCTTTACTTTCTTTTTACTTTACTCCTTTACTCCTTTACTTTGGTGGAGTAAGGAAACGGTGGAAACTCACTCCAATGAACACATCCATTATAGCCCACATATTTAATGTCATTTGTTTATTAATTCAGTTCTAATTTCCTGCAAACGAATAAATAATATAATAACAATGAAGTGAGGTAAAACATGTGGAGTTATATCCAAACACATGTCCTGTTCTTTTGCCCCATATGGTGATGCAGACGTCTCCAAAACCCCACAGGTGGACAAATCTAAACTTGATTATATTTAAACGAATATAAATATGCAGATAATAAATATTAACATTATACAAATGCAGATTGCCATGAATAAACTAAAAAGTTTCCCGAGGTGAATAAGGCATGGAGGCAGTGGTTTTTATATTTATGCATAAATTAATAATTTTTGTGTCATTTTAATCCTTTAATTGTTTTCATCTGTAAAGATATTTGTGTATTGCTGTACATCCTGTGTGTATTAAGCAACATGTAAGCATTTGGACCTACACAGGCGCATAACTAACATGCTCTGTGCTGGAATTTGGCAACGTGCCAACAATGCGCCTTAACACACCTCTATTTTAGACCAGCACACCCATGAGTACAAAAAGTGGCGCAAATGGATTTGCTATTTAAATAACGTAGTGCAAAACGTGAAAATTACAGTTGTGCTGGTCTAAAAATAGCTACGAATCCCGCCATACAAGTCTTGCGCCTTATTGCGCTGGGTGTATAATAGAGCTGGATTTGTACACTTAACTCTGCTACTAATCAACTAAAACTATATAAACAACAATGTATGTTCGCAAAATAAAAGTACACTAAAGCTAACAAAAACATCAGTCAAACTTACTAAAACCAAAACAACATCTGTGCAGAGAAAAAATATACTAAAATAAAACTATTTTAAATAGTCTAATCTAGAAAATCCCTTGGCCTTTCTATCAAGGTGAAACTGATGCGTTTCCCTACCTGTTGTCACAGAGACGTTGGAGCCGGCTAAGCTGTGGCACTGATTATCTTGAGAGATGACGTTTAGCATGTAGGTCTGTGCGCAGGTCAGGCCCTTGAAAGAGCAGGAGAGGTCAGAGGTCGTGCAGGATTGATTGTACTGGCCTGGGCCGGTCAGGACACCGTTGTAGGATAATGCTCCGGCTGTGGGACCCCATGATGCCTTCACAGTGTTGCTCACACACTCCACATTGGCACGGACAGATGAGGGAATACACGGCACTGCCAGGAGAGAGAATTTTTTTGGTTTTTAGGGAAACCATGATTGGTGAAATCACACTGTTTAAAGGTAAAGTACATATGATTTTTAAATAGGAGGATGGGAGTAAGGTTTAAGGCAGGGACCACCAACACTGCATATTTTGGATGTCAACTTTGTCTGTCACACTCATTAGAGGTCTTTCAGGCTGCAACCGAAAACACATACTTCCATACTATATACATAGTATAGTAAAAACAGTATGCGAACCGAGTAGTATATCTGTATTCATAGAATAAAAAAAGTTGTATTCAAGAAGAAACCGGATGACGAGATTCTGAAGAGCGCATCCAATGGGTGCTATGCTATCCCATGATACACCATGCGAGAATTCATAAATGGAAGGTGTGATGAAAACGAGCCCACCAGCTCATCTTCAGGGGGAGAAATGGGAGTTCGAAAGGGGAAAAACTGATGCAAGGTGATGTTTATTTACAGTGCCAAAAAGTCCATCCACAGTGAAGATATTTACAAGTGCTAAAAAAATAATAATAAAAAGTACCAAAGAAACAACAATCAGGAAAATAAAATCTGCAAAAATATACTCCAATTATATCTACAAAAATAGTAATAACAGGTATTCACAATAAACTTGCTCGAGGCACCACAGTAGCATTGACTTGGTTAACAAGTGTCAAAAGGTAGTTGGGCTATATAGCCCAAACTCCCGCCCGTTTGTGGGCTATACTATTCAAAGGTAAGTATTAAATTGGACAAATACGCAAACATTAAAAAACTTAACATTCAATCTACACTTCACATTAAACACATAAAGAAAAAATCCTAATATATAATTAACAACAAAACATAAATGTTCTTAATATAAATAAACACATAATACACACTTCATGAACACAAAACACCTATTGAACAGACATAATGGTTTCGTCAGCTTCCGATCGCAGTGCGCATGCGCACACAATCCCATTCATTCTTAAACCGGGACTTCCTATGTGCTCGGTTTGACCAATCGCGACCGGAAGCCTGACTACGCCCACACAGACAAACATCAAACAGAAAACACAACACAACAGGTGAAGTGGAGGTGAATGAAATGCCTATGAATTGACTTACAAATTGCGGAGAGTGAATTTATGGAAATATGTCCATGTGCTATCGAGATTGCGTGTGCACCCGCTCCTCCAATAGCGGCAACGGCAGAAGCAACGTAATTGACATGGGTAGATCATGTGACCATGAAAAAATGGCGCATGTAGAATGTCCAAGTTCCATTCATACTATTCGCATTTATAATGTATAGAACGCACTTTTTCAACAGCCGAGTAGTACATTCTAATTCAAAAGCAGTACATCCTATGGTGCTATTCACGCCCATTATGCTATGCTAGCGAATGACATGTTGCAAATTAAGCGTTTTATTTTGATTTGCACCAATTGCTCAATTTAAAAAATCTGAACCCAACCAAGTAGGAGCACCTCTCAATGATCTGATGGACCCAAACACAGCGCCGAATGAATATACAGCATTTTTCATCCTTCCTAAAGCACATTAAACACAGCTAGCAGCCAAGCAGACGAACATCCTTCCGATGACGCGAATCCCCATTTATTGTGAAGTGAATTTGACTCATTAAGCGAGTAAACGCAAAATATTCAAGCCTCTAAATGCAAGCGAATAGCATCTGTTTGCTCAAGCCACATCCGGTATGAACACCCCCTCGGAATTGCATTATGTTTTGAAGTTTTCATGTGGTCTATGTGGGGGGGAGAGAAGAGTTTTTATTCACAGGGGTTTAGGTGATCTCAGAAGAGATGGGTTTATTGGGTTTATAGATGAAGTTATTGTCCGTTTTAACTGCGTTTTGATCCAATTATTCAGTCTGACATGATGACAACTGAGATCTCACAGTGTGGGATCACATCCTTGCAGTCTGACAAGCTACAATCATTTAGGATTCTGAAAAATGGGCTTGAATTGTGTTTGCTAAAGGTGTTTGAAAAAATAAAACAACATACTTCATCTTTAAATGCATTCTTTCAGCTCTCCTGTCTATAAATCTCACCTGTTTGGACAGGACGGCTCTGGCTCCCTGGCCCTTGACACTCTCCATTGGATGCTGTGATGATGGCAGTGTAGTTCTTACCACAGTCCAGGCCAGTGACAATACAACTAGAGCTCTGCGTGGTGCAGTTGAGCACAGCGCCACCTGCTGTGGTGGCCAGGACAGTGTAGTTTAGAGCTGTGACACCCAGAGCCCAGCTGACGTTCAGGCTGTTAGTGGAACAGTCCACGAATCTGGACACAATCTGAGGGGCGCAAGGTGCTGGACAAAAACACGTGAGGAGTGAAACATTTCAGTATAAGTATGGAAATCATGACTACTGTGAATTGTACGGTGAAACACAGGCTCATTGGGAGGATGTGTCCAAGTGTAAATTTTTGTGAACTGACAAATACATGCTCACAGGTATGGCTGACATCAGAATTTATAAACCCTCCTGAATTATTAGCCTCCTTGTACATATTTTCCTCTCAATTTCTGTTTAACGGAGTGAAGATTTTTCTCAACACATTTTTAGACATGATAGTTTTGATAACTCATTTCTAATAACTGATTTCTTTAATCTATGTTATGATGACAGCACATAATATTTGACTAGGTCGGCAAGTTGATTAGGCAAGATTAGGCAAGTCATATATGTATAACAGTGGTTGGTTCTGGAGATAATCCAAAACAAATATAGCTTTAGGGGGGTAATGATATTGACTTTAAAATGAGTTTAAACCAATTAAAAAATGCTTTTATTCTAGCTGAAATAAAACAAATTAGACTTTCTCCAGAAGAAAAAATATTAGAGGAAATACTTTGAAAAATTCCTGAATCTGTTCAACATCATTTGGGAAACATTTGAAAATTAAAAGAAAATTCACAGGAGGGTGAATAAATTTGACTTTGGACTTTGGTCAAAAATGCACATGACGCCCTCTTGTGGATTTGTGAAAACTGCAAGACAAAATAGTCCGGGGTACATATTTGTCAGTACTCAAAAATGTAGCCATGGGCACATATTCCAAAGAAGCCTGCTAATATCCTAATGGAATGTGCTACCTGTCTGGTGTCTGTTCTCTGCACTGTTTGGACTGTCACATGTGCCATCAGAAGCACTTACGACAAACACATACTCCTGTCCACAATGCAGGCCGCTTAACTGGCACCCTGGAGTTTTGGTATCACATGTGATATTCTGGCCATCTTTGCCCAATGCTGAGCCTCTGTAGGAAACAGCGGCAAGACTGGCGCTCCATGACAGAGAGACGGAGTTGATGCTACAATTCACAACGCTCTTTACATTAGTGGGTGAACAGGGAACTGGAGAAAGAAAACAGTTCGACATGAAAAAGAAACAGTGAATACCTTTGGAGTGTGTGGTTCGTGCACTGTATAAAAGGCGATTAGTAGGCCCACACTGAATCTATGCATGTAGAAATCCCCCAGATTTTAAGCACATCATGGAGTCTGTTTATGTACTTGTGTAAATGTGTGTAAATTTACATCAATTCAGTTTATATTTCAGTAATATTATTGACTAATATGAAAATGCTCATATTAATTTTTGCAGTCTATTTGTGCAGTGTATGCTCATTTGATTTACTGACATTATATCTAAGCTTTTATTTCTATATTTTCAGTTGTCATCAGTATCAGTTTAGCCTGACCTGTGCGCAGGGTAGTGTTCTGACTCTGCAGGCTGGAGCAGTTCCCATCTACAGCGCTCACACTGATGGAGTACATGGTGCTGCAGTGCAGGTCAGCGAAGCTACATGATGTAGTGTTGGAGGAGCAGTTTGTATAGTGTCCATCTTCGCCCACAGCAAACGCAACATAAGATAAAGCACCACGGCTTGCTTGCCATGATGCATTCACCAAGCTGTTGCCACAGGTCCGTGTAGCCGTAACGTTAGTGGGCACACAGGGCACTAGTAGGGAGAGAGTGAAGAAAGCATGAGAATAACACACAAAGAGCACCACTGAAATACAAATAATTAAACATGTAGTGAATAGGCAAATGTACTGACAGTTGTAGGAAGCATAGATTATCCAGTCTGATCTCACGAGGAAACGTAAGTAATTTACGTTTTGTCAGTTTAGTGGCTAATTTGTTCGAATTTGTACGAGTTCAGTCGTATTAAAATGCACGATTTTAAAAAAGAGGCGTGGCACCCAACCCCACCCCTAACCCCAACCGTCATTGGCTGATGAGCAAATTGTATGAATCAAATTGTATGAAAAAGTTACGAATTGCCGTGAGATTCGTTGGATTATCATGGGTCAATGATGCTACTGAAGTAATGTTTTGAGAATGAACCCGTGCCTCACCCTCTCTGATCACTACAGGTGCACTGAGCATGCTCAGACAGGAGCTGTTGTATGACTGGAGCTTTATGGAGTATGAATCTCCACACTGCAGATTGCTCATGTTACAGGACGGCACGCTAGAGTTGCAGTAAAGCAGCTTCCCAGTGCTTCCGGAAACCACAGTGGAAATATAACCTGCAGCACCGTCTGTTGGATCCCAGCTGAGCGAGAGAAGACCTGAGGGGCACTGGACATCAGCCCGGACATGTGCTGGACCACACGGTACTGCAAAGAGAGCATGGTATCTGTTTTAATAGCAAACTATTGTAGGATTTTGCACAGTTGAAGTCAAACTTATTAGCCCCACTGTGAATTTATTTGTGAACTCAACTTCAACTTCAACTTAAAATTTAAAAATGTTTCAAGCATTACAGACAATAACAACAAACAGGTCCGCGACACCTCACTTCATTTTCATAACCGGTCACTTTTGTTTTCACATTGGGGTTGAGGGCGGTGTGATCGTCCTCTGCCTAGAGCGGCAGTTCAGCTTGCTCCGGCCCTGCCACCACCTTAGATATTTTAACCTCCAGTGATTTACTCATTATTAGTGTTGTACACCTCTGTAGTAATGTAGCGAAGAGAAGAGACCTTCAAAGACCTATAATAAAAACATTTAACTTAAATGTTATGGACTAAAGCTTCCTTACCGGACCTCATTTGTATGGCACGGGAAGACATACTGGGACAAATTCCATCATGGTGTAGGACGCTAATGCCATAAACTTGTCCGCACTTCAGGTTGGAGATCCGGCAGCTGCTGGCTGTGGTGCTGCAGCTGAGTAACCCTCCAGCCTCGTCCTGCATAGTGGCAATGAAGGAAATCACACTTGGAGATCCCTTCCAGCTCACCAGTGCTTGGTTTTGTTGACAGTCCAGCACAGCTTGAACACCCTGAGGGGGACAGGGACCTAAGAGATAGGACAGGAAGTTGGTTATGAGATGTGAAACGTCAAGGTAATTCCGCTATGGTAAATTTGCACATCTATTGCACCTGTTTGTACAGTGATGTTGTCACTGACAGAGCTGTTGCATCTGATATCGGATGCCATGACAAAAGCTGTGTAATTCGATTCACAGCTCAGCCCGGTGATCTGGCAACGTACATCCATTGAGCTGCAAGTGTAAGCAGTTCCAAAGCGATCCACTGCAGTGGCCATGTAGAATACAGAACCTAATGAGGCCTCCCATGTCAGAGAGATAGAATCTGAGCCACAGTCCACCACTGCTGACAGACTTTGAGGTTTGCAGGGAGCTAGAAAACACAACATAAAGTATTTAAAGCGTGTGTACTTTGGTTAAACAGCAAATCTGAATTCCTCCATTCGGAATAATACTCAGGCAATCAGAGGTTCTTTGCATAGCAGTTGTTTAATGCATTCTGGCAGGAATTTGGGTTGAAGGATTCATAAAGAGGAGTTGTAAAGGGTATGTCTGTTTGAAATGATGGAGAAGAGTCTAATTTAGACCCAATCCCAATTCTGTCTTAAGCCATGGTCATACTGTGACTTTTCGCCCCATAGACTTCCAATTACACAAGACAAGACACGACAATGTTTGTATGTTGCTGCGTTCCAATGTTCAAGAGTGGTGCACTCTGTTCTGCAAAAACACATCATATGATTGCTTGAGACCACATCAAAATGTGACCTTTCTGTACATAAATTTCAAATATGGAGCACTCGCTCACTTTATCTATGCCTGATCATCATTATCCTGCCTGTTTTCGCAGCGCTGTCAGAAAGAATTTCACAAGCTCAAACTCTAGTATGGCCACAGCTTTAGCCCTTCCACTTCCCCCTGTGTTTAAGGGGTATAGATGTTTTGATTTTCTTTTGCTTGGAGGTGTAGGGGTAGGGGAAATTTGAAGGGCTTTGAAAGATTTCCTTGAATTCAACAGCTACAGCAGCAACATGGCTGCACGAGCGATCAAAGAGACCCAAAACTGGCAATAATAACATCTGCACTATAATCGGAACACCCGAGGAAACCCAGAATCTGATAGGTTTGATCTCAAAATTACTTTTCAGCTTTCAGAGTGAGAAACCTGTTAAACGTTACTCATTTTAAAGGTTCAATAGAAAGAATTGGGTTTAGGAGTATACAATAGAAGTTAGTCTGGTTAGGAAAATGCCATTTTCAGTGTGCTTATTCATTTTCTTTAGTGTTGTAAGAGGCCTGGAATGTATTCATGTTAAAATTTAGAATAATATTTAAATGTTTTTTTGCGTAAGCCAACAAATTAACTGCTGCTCATGACCACTTGTGCTAAAGTGGTCTACGCATCAATAGTTTATAATTTCACAAACACCCATCTAACCAATGCACTAGCCTTAATGCTTAACCTATCCCATTGTCTCAATCTGAAGATGTGTAAAACTCTGGGTGATGGTCAGACCATTGCAGGACCAGTGTGTGTCTTTAGATTGTGGGGACAACTGGTGCTCAAAAAACCTGCAAACTCCACCAAGGGACCTGTTTGTTGTGATGTTCCAACCATTTTACAAGACCTGATGACTTAAAACTGCACCTGCTTAAATTGATTGCATGTAACCATACTGTTTGTCCACCAGAGGGCATTGTCACTCACCAGTCTGACCTACTTCCCCCAGAGACAGAACACTGGAGCACTCATTATCAGCAGCAGTGATTATCATGGTAAGACTCTCTCCACAGTTTATGCCGGTGATCGTGCAGCTCTGCTTCAATGAGCTACACGTATAGTAGCTCTGATTTCCACGGTTGCCAAAAGCCTCCACTGTGTACCGTAGGGCTCCATCCGCACCTTCCCAGCTGCTGGTCAACACATCTGTCTGACAGTCGGTGGACGTGCGCATGTTCCTTGGTGGGCAGGGTGCTGGTGGAATGAGATTAACATAATGCATCATATGCTGTGAGTTGAATATTTAGGCCAGGGGTGTCCAAACTCAGTCCTGGAGGGTCGGTGTCCTGCAAAGTTTAGTTCCAACTCCAATCAGACACACCTTGGCTAGCTAATCAAGCTCTTACATAGCTTTCTAGAAACATCTTGCAGGTGTGTTGAGACAAGTTGGAGCTAAAATCTGCAGGACACCTGCCCTCTAGGATCAAGTTTGGACTCCCCTGATTTAGGCCAACAAGTCAAGACAACAGTCAAGAGCTGGTGTACTGCATAGCTCCAACTTCCTTCAGCACACTTGCATGGAAGTTTCTAGCATACTTAGAAAGAGCTTGATTAGCTGGTTCAGATGCGTCTAATTTGGCTTGGAACTAAACTCTGCAGGACAGAACCAAAGAACCAAGTTTAGTCATGATAAACACGTATAGATTTTGAAGATATATTTATTGTTACCAGTTCGTATTTGAATCGCTGAACTGGATGGGGAGTTGCACTGCTGTTTAGATGAAGATGAAGAGCCCGAGACGGTGAAGTTGTAAAGGCGTCCACATGTGGTGTCAGTAAAGAAGCAAGATGTGTCTGTAGTCATGCATTCCATGACCTTTCCGACCGAGTCAACAGCCCTCGCAAAGTAGTAAGCAGAGTAATTATTTGGAGCCCAAGAAAAGATGATGACATTGCTGCTGCACTCCCGGTACAGCATCAGATTGGAGGGAGCGCAGGGAGCTGTAAGCATGCGTACAAAGAAATAGATTAAACTTTAGTAAGATAAGCATCAAAGAACACAGAATACAGACAATAGCTAATCTTAGTTCCCAGTATCTTGTCTTCTAATCTCCTAACCTTGTTATTTGAGTTTCTGAAATGGGTTTTAGTTTACTGTTACGCCAGTTCTTACTGCTCTGAAAAGAGTCCCGGCAGGCACTCAATATTATAAGACGATAATATTAGGTTAGATTTAGGTCATGACGTCAAGTGATCAAAATGTATTGCCTAGCCAGTGTCTAAGGACAATGGTAAACTTACGTCCAATAACGACATCAAATAATGTCGATATTTGGTTGATTTTACATTGTGTAGAAAAGTGACCAAACTTGTCTGATAGATGTCTTAGTGGTAACGTTCACACAACATCAAGCTGTAACATGATTAGATGTTGATATTTGGTTGATTTTAGGTTGGACATTGGAGTCGGCCTGACGATAGGTTCTGACGTCAACCCGATTTTCATTCCCAAACAAAATCCAACGTCCCCAGTACGTTGGGGTACAACATCGATATGATGTCACGTTGACGTCTTGTGCTTGCAGGGGTGATTCACGTAATGGATGCCTAAGAAAAAGGCTTGTTCTCTAGGTACTATATTCTCCCTGATTCTCCAGAGGACTGGGTGGGTATTAGCTTCCTCCCTGAGAACACATAACACCTGGGATAGCTCTTGTCTAGATTTTGATCTTTCATTTTAAGAGATACCTAAAATGCAACTCATGCTGTCTTTTCTGAAGTTTGAAAAAAGGTGTCTGTCCCAGTGGATTTTCAATCAGATGTAGAGCACTGAAACTATACTGAAACCATTATAGGCCTTGGCCTGAAACATACAATGCACAAGTACGCCAATATCAAATTCTGTCTACCTTCTTTCTTTTGTCTCAGAATACAATTTAGATCACATATTTGCACTGCATCCTCAGCATTGCCATAGCTGGCATGTTATTTGTTAAAGAGAATGACTTGAAAAACGGCAATCCACAGACATTTGAAGATAATTTTGTTGCCCCATTTAGGACTGTAGCAACCATATAATCCATAATACCATTAACTGAGATATAATAGCTTAAAATGGATTAGGAACACAGTACCGGCGGCTTCTCAGCTTCCATGAGTTCACAAACAAGACAAATGGCAATAACTTTGGAAGCATTATGTCCTTCATGTAACAAATACACCTCTATTGAATGAAGAACAATTTCCCACACTGTGACATGACTCTTGATCGAACAATATACAACTATCTGAAGTGGGTCAGCACAACAGAAAAAGAACACTTGCTGTTGTGAAACTATTCAGATGTCCCAGTAGAAACAATGCAATCTCCAGGGACTTCTCTGTTGTGGATCAAGTGTCTTTAAAGCTCTTGGATGAATAGAGGGCATTGATGATCAGAAATGCAAGAGTATAGATATCCAGGATGCACACCACAAATCACTGATTCTAGTTCAGATTATTCTCCCTGAATGCCAACAGGAAGCAGTGTTTGGGTGTAATGCGTTGCAAGTAACTTGGGTTACTTATCGGATTACTTTCTGTCAAGTAACTAGTAAAGTAACTTATTCATTAATAAAAGTCACCCCAGTTTACTCACCTCACTTTCACTGCAACAAATCCAGCATCAATTAAAAGTAATCAACCCTAACTGTGAAGTGCAAACTCTGAATATTTATTGCTGAAGAGTTTTGGACTTGGTTTTTGTGCGTCCTATTCTTCATTTGTGTCAACATCTCACCTGTTTGGAAGGATGTGGTGGCATTGCCAGTGCTTTCACAGTTGTTGGACTGTGCGATAACGTGTACGATGTAGTTTTCTCCACATGCTAGCTTTACAAGTTGGCACATTGTATTGTTCGATGTGCAGGACAGAACTGTACCACTGCGACTTACGGCAGTGGCACGGTAAGAAGTGGCTCCAAACACAGTTGTCCAAGTGACTGAAGCTGAATTTGTAGCACAGCTGTAGTCCACCGAGACTGACGTCACTGGACCCAGAGCTGTGTGGCAAAGATTTTGAGTTAATAGACAGAACTGACTTTGAAGAGAGTTTGAACTCAAGTACGTTTAAACTTAATTCTACATTAATTCTTAATCCAGTCGGCCATATCAGAAGGTGGAGGTGTCAAACTTACTCAACTGGTTATTTTCTTTTAAAGGATTAACTAATTAGCCTATATGCTAAATGACAAAATTTTATCTCAATACCATTTCCAGCTAAACTTGATTACCCAAGTCTGTCACTGCTTTCCAAATTAAAGGATACATCCCTATGCCCAAGGGGTGTCCAATCTTATACCTTCTTGCAAGAGTTCTACCTTCTTGCAGAGTACAACCTTGACTGTATCTGTCTGTAATTACCAAGTGCTCCTGTAACCCCCGCTGGTCCTACGCCACCCAACCTGTTCTGAGCTGGTATTGAACTGGTGACGTTCCACATGGGAGTCAGTTGTTCTACCAAGGAAGCTAAAGACCATGGCCTTTAGCATCTATCACTAGAGCACCTTTAGAGGTCAGGGGAGTGAGGTTTACCTGCACAGCACTTACTAGCTGGCCTCTGCTACACTCACCCCCCTAAACCTCACTCCCATCCGGGTCACGGCACCAATGTATCCCCGCTGGCCCTACGCCACCCAACCCATTCCGAGCTGGTATCAAACCGGCGACCTTCCGCATGTGAGTCTGTTGCTCTACCAAGGAGGCTAAAGACCATGGCCTCTAGCGTCTGTCACTAGAGCACCTTTAGGGGTCAGAGGAGCGAGGTTTACCTGCACAGCACTTACTAGCTGGCCTCTGCTATACTCATTCAATTCCTGCTTTTAGTTGTTTTTGATCATGGTTGGACCTGAACTCTCCAGGAATTTAGATCTCCAGGAACAGGATTGGGTACCCCTGCCCTAAACTCTTCGTAGGGTTTACCCTCTGGAGCAGAGGTCCTCAACCCTGTTTCTGGAGATCTACCTTCTTGCAGAGTTCAGCTCCAACCCTGATCAAATGTACCTTAAACAATTAGTTAGGAGTTGAAGCAGTACTTAATTACATGCAAGTGTGTTTGATCAGAGTTGCAGTTGAGTTCTGCAGGAAGGGAGATCTTGAGGAACAGGGTTGGTGACCCCTGCTCTGGAGGCGCAGCTTTGTAGGGATTAGGTCAAAGGGATAAGCCCTCCCAAATGAAATGCACTGTTCCAGTCAACTTCTTTGCGCAGAGTATTGTGGGACCCAAAGTCAACATGAATTATACCATTTAAAATGGCCAATTTTGAGCCCTTTGGTTTGAAACAACAATGCAGTGGCCTTGATTTTTTTACTATTTGAAGTGCCCTTCGAAAAGCAAATCAGAACTGGAATGCACAATGGATCTCATTTGGATTAATTTAAGGTTGGGGTTCAAGTGTAACTCTGCCGGTCCTATGCCACCCAACCCGCTCCGAGCTACTATCAAACCAGCGACCTTCCACATGGGAGTCGGTTGCTCTACCAATGAGTCTAAAGACCATGGCCGCTGGCGTCTGTCGCTAGAGCACCTTTAGAGGTCAGAGGAGTGAGGTTTACCTGCACAGCATTTACTAGTTGGCCTCCGTTACACTCACCCCCTAAACCTCACTCCCATCCGGGTCACGGCACTAATGTAACCAAGCCGGTCCTACACCACGCTGGCCTCCATTACACTAGCATTTCTATCAACAACTATCTTGTTTTGTTTGCAAGGGCAACAGGATCATCGTAGTTTTCCACAGTTTGCTTTTCAATATTTAAAAAGGGTATATATATGCCCCAAAAATGTATATTACAAGTGTATTAAAAGTTTAACATTTTGAACTTCATCATCGAGCACTAGCTTATGTACCCTTGCTAAAACTACCCAGTACTTCCCAATACCCTTACCCCTACCTCTAAAACAGCTCCTATACTCTTCTATCAAAATAAAGGCAAAAAAACAACAAAACAAAACAATAAAACAAAATACTCATATGATTAACTTAATTTGACTTAAAAAAAAAAACTCCATAGTCTATTCCTAAAGTATTCTTTTTCAACATGTTTTAAACTCCTTCTGAAAGTGGTCAAAAGTAGAAAATCTGCAAATATATTTGAAAAGATATGGCTTACTGCTTGTTGTATAGTTGATCTGCCTGGGTTCTCCAACTTCCATGAGGGCATTAATTGATGACACTGAGATTAGGTATGAAGAGCAAGGTGACATACTGGTCATCTCTAGTGTGTTGTTGAACACAGTGCTTGAATATAGTGTAGTGTTTATCGAATTCCAGTTTTTGATGGTAAGGTTGTAGACTAGAACCTTGTCCACAGGTTGCCAGCTGATGCGGGCAGACTGGGGGCCCGTCTGTAGCACTGTGACCACGGCTGGAGGCTGGATCACTGAGAGTCAAGACATTAAACAATGGGGGTTAACATTTGAAGATAACAGTTACATTCATGTAAAAACCTGGACACCCTACACAAAAACTGTCACTGAACCACCAACTATTCCAGCATATGTTTTACACAGTGCCCTTCCAGCTGCAACCCAGTACTGGGAAACACCCATACACTTTCACATTCACACTCAATTGGCCATTTTAATCCAATTCACCTATAGTGCTTGTGTTTGGACTGTGGGGGAACAGGAGCACTTGGAGGATACCCATGCCAACACAGGGAGAACATGCAAACTCCACACAGAAACACCAACTGACCCAGCCGGGACTTGAACTAGTGCCCTTATTGCTGTGAGGCGACAGTGCTAACCACTAAGCCACCATGCCGCCTCATCTCCAACTATTGTAGATTTGATGCTGTGTTTGGGATGATGGTCCTGTTCAGGACCCAGTTTTGGCTTAGATTAAGCTCATCCCGAGTGTGTTCACACACACCTGAAGCTCCAGATCAACATCAAACTTCATCAGTTCAGGTGTTTGATTAGCTCTGCCAACAAAATAAACTTTATAGGGTGTCCAGACTTTTTCACAGGACTGATTCAAAGCATTACTAATGCTCACTTACATGTAGTGACCGTCCGTACTTTGCTTTTTGCTCCTAGACCTCCAGCATTGGATGTGACCACATAACAGTCATACGTAGTGGCCGGTCGAAGATTTCCAATTAGCGTGCTGTTATTTACATAAGTGAAGTTGTACCGTTCCCCTGTCGACGTTGAATTTATCATCAAAATGTATTGTAGTGCTGTTTGCACCCACTCCCATTCTAGCCAGATGGCTGTGCTTGATATTGACTTTGAATAGGTTATCTGAGATGTACCCGGTGCTGGAGTGGAAACAAAAGACAAACATTACTGTTATCATATCATCTGCACTCGGTTTAGTGATGTGCAAAGATCAAATTTGAACCTAATATTCTTCACAATTGTTGTCTATTCAATTGATTGCTGAATCACATATACTTAAACACTAAAAAAAGAGGGAATAGTTACCTGTTCTTGCTATTTTTGTATCAACACACAAAACAGTATAATACATAAACCCTTTAATTGTGACCGTGTACAGTGTCCCCGTCTTCAAGCCAAACACCTCTTTCATCGACAGACTCCCGGGGACCGACGTTACAACTGGAGCTGTATTTGTGTCGTTCACAACCCGAAGGTCCAAGAAATAATTTGTTACTCCCGGAAGTCTGTTCCACTGAACCAACAGCGATGATGCCGAAGGAGAGGATATTGCATTTATATTGCATTCTGAAAAAGAAAAGATCACTCATTAAAGTCACATTCTAGTGAAAAACAATTAAAGTAAACACGCACACACACACACACACACACACACACACACACACACACACACACACACACACACACACACACACACACACACACACACACACACACACACACACACACACACACACACACACACACACACACACACACACACACACACACACACACACACACACACAATAAATAGATCAAGAATTAAATTGAAAATTGATTCATTTTAAATTCATTTCACCCAAAAGAAACACAAATTAGCAAACGGCAACTGTCTGAGCTGGGGTATTTACATAAAGCATTCTAATTGGCTAACTTTTCTG